AAAATACGGGGGCGTCCTGTCTAACCACGAATCAATTAGAGCATTTTTTGACGCTTTCCCTATCTGTCAACACCCAGTCAAATTCAGGGGTTGATTTCCGCAGTTCCCACCCCCTTTAATAACGATTCATGATCACCCAAACCAATTGCCTCGTTGCAATTAACTAGGCGTATCCACCCGGACCAGCCGGCTGCTTTTATCCCCCTCAATCGAACCATTCTTACGCGAAATTTGTAGCAGTACCAACACTGCATTGAGCTTAAGAAGTCCTGACGGCAGAATTACCTGCTTTTTGACGTTTCTCGAGTCACATTGCTACGATTTTCGAGTCACTGGAAGACCAGAAATTCCTCATTGTACTCTGCTCTTTATTTTCAATATTTAATCGTCGTGTTAATAGTTCTATTTCGATTTTCACATTTTTGTGTCTTTTATGTCTTTTCTTAATAAGAAACATCAAAATCTAAGTCAGTATTTTCAGGGAAACGGGCGATCGACGACGGTTCTGAAGCAGCCAGCCCGACCGACAGCTAACGGCCCAGTTAAGGTATGGTTTTATAGAGTTTTTAAGCCTTTGAAAATGGAGATCTTTTGCTTAGCTTAACGAGAATGAATTTAGATTATTCTAAGTATTAAAAACTAAAAATTAGCGTTTTCTACGTTAGAATTGAAAATTTGATCTAAAATACTTTGATCACAAGATTAAATGATCTTGAAGAACAATTTAGCTAGCTGGTCATTTGACCTAGCAGCTCTCAACTACCTCCTCCATACTTAGAATAGCATGGGGGTACCGGCTGTGCTTGTGTGTGTCTCTATGTCTGTCGATGTGTCTGTGAGCATTTCCGTGTTTGGCCGGCGGCAATTTGATGGGCTAGTAGGTTCTCACGGGTGGTAATTGTACCCAACACACACTCCTCCCTCCACATAAACGGAACTCGAGTCGAATGGGTGTTAGTAGAGGGGTCTGTTTCGACGGGGCGCCACATGCGTAATCAAGCAAATGCATCACAATAATGGGAACGCTTGCTTTAAAGGGATTGTGAAGGGAAAATAGGATTACCATGTGAGGTGTCACAATGGTTTAGTATCTTTATAGAGGATCGTAAGGTAACTATGACGTGACTTATTTCCAGAATGCAAATAGAGCAGTCGTCGTTGCATCGTTAGAAGATTGCCGTTTAATAGTTAGACATCATCTATCTTGGATTCTGAGCGTATTGTCTGTTGCCAATACGTAAAAAAAAACGAAAAAGAACCGGAGAAAAACTAAAAACTCACGCCTTAACTACGTGCGATGCACGGCACTTCAGTCGGATTTTGTAATTCCAAGTCTATTTGATTTACCAATTTTCGACGGAATTTAGCGTCAACTTGTAGCGAGGATCGACGATTTTTGGGTTTACCTAAGAGCTTATAAGATGAAATTTATAATCTTTTCTGTCTCCGAAAAACTAGACATAAGTTACAGTACTCTAAGGAAAATCTAGGCAGCTTTCGCCAGCAACAAGAGTGTACTTTTAAATTGTTTAGTAGGAAGCGACATAGTTTTTACAAGTTTAATCAGATAATTTACTTGCGTCTTTTCCCGAAATCCTAAAAGTAGTTTTAGTTTAGGATATTCAATAAAAAAACTGTATTCATTAGCTCACGTGTGCTTCAGGAATTATAGCGCAAACGTGGTTCTGAGAATTTTGATTCTGAATTCTGAGAAAATCAAAATTATGATGGGCGAGCGTATTACGGCAGGATGTTTGATGTTCAAAACCGTACGTTGTATTGAGCTTCTAGCTCCTCAACAAAATTTCGGAATTTTTCGCTAATTCTGAAAAGATGAAGATCGCCGAAAAAGCGGACGTCGAAGTGACTGCGATTTTTTGACTAATCAAATCCATTCCAAATCCAAAACCAACAAAAATTACTTTCCCAGCGCCCGATTTCCGCTCCAGCCTTGACGAAAATCCGGGGGGACCACCCGCGCCAACGGGTTTTATGTGGTGGTTAACGTGCGTCCCATATAATTTTTTAGGGGCTGCTGCGCCGTATTTTTTTTTGAAAAGGGGTATTATTTTTGCTGTCAGCCGTCGTCTATTCAGACGTCCTCAACGTTCCTAGGGAATAGAAATAGGAAATGGCCCGATGCCAAAAACGCCGTCAGGCGGCCATAAGCCAAAAATATATAAACAGAATAACACGAAAATACACGGTAAAATAAGAAGGAAAATACTCTGTAAAAAGGCAGTTAATAGGTAATTAGTACATTACAGTAATATGTCAGTAAAACAGCTGATTTTTCATGATTTTATACTAGCTGGTGGCAAGCAGGTGGTAGGAACGCGGGGGAGTGCTAATGGGATACTGTAATTGCCTATTCGAGCGTAAATATGCTAATTAGGTCCACTTATGAAATATTATGAAAACAATAAATCAAAATTTGCTTTCGTTTTCCGGCAACACTTTGTGATTTGGTTTAGTAAATATATGGTAATTTTAGCTTCAATCGCCCTATAAAATCGTAGCAATTATAAAAATTCATTCATTACCGTAGCGGATCTGTTTTCAACCAAACTTAGCAATTCCAAGAAACGGACGACTAAATATAGTCTCGAGTTGCAGCAACACCCAATTACAGCGCGCTTTTTTTGCTCCTCAGCAAAAATTGCCTAGCACCAAATAAACCTAAAAACTCTCAGACTAAGAAAAATTCCTTTCAAACTTTTCCTTTGCTAATACACGTTCGTTTCTGGGGAATACCCTCCTTGTCTCGCAGCCTTGGACGTGTAGAGTTTTTTTGAGGTTGCCAGATGGTTCCACTTATTAGTTGGGCATTGCAGGAGCGAACGGCAGGATTTCCGGACGTTCCAGTCAGTGTACGTTGTGTAGAAAAAGGTCTGGAAAAACGCATAGTTTGTTAAGAAAAGCTAAGGTGATATGGGCAGCAAATTGTATCAGAAAATCTTGAAGGGAATATCGGAAATAGGTCGTGCTCCACGATCTATTTTGCATACATTGATGCACTTGCTCGTTCTCTCTCTCTCTCTCTCTCTCTCTCTCTCTCTCTCTCTCTATCTATCTCTCTCTCTCTCTCTCTCTCTCTCTCTCTGTCTCTCTTTTACGCTATAGCTCTAGCAGAATGGCTATCAAATCGCAAAGCCCGTTCACAACAATCCATGCTTTAATTTTTAACACCTCTCCCAAACTCCCGCGTACAATTCCTTCCACTCGGTGATCTTAGATGCGATTGTAGAAGCGGAATCCGATCCAGAAGAAGAAGCATTCTCGGGCACCACCCCGGTTTTGTTGAAGGGGGAGGAGAAGGAGAAGCTTGGAGGGGCTGGTGGGCTGGGGGCGGGTATTTGGGGGGAAGAAGCAGCCGAAGGAGGAGGACGAGAAAAGGGTGGGCCCTAACCAGAGCCGGGGACCCCCGCCAGCTAGAGGCCCAGCTAGAGGCCCAGTGCAGGCCATGCAACGCGACCGTCCGGTCGTGTTGCCCGTCTCCACTGAGCGTCTACAGGCCCCAAGATACCGTCGAATATCGGCTATATGTGCGCAGGCGATCACCTCCACCGTCACCCTACCATCAGGCAGTAATCCGAGTCTTTACACACATTTGCGAGAGCGCGGCTTTTGAATTATACCCCTTTGTTTGCTTGTGCTTGGGCTTTTGAAGTATTTAGGGCTTATTCAAGTTTAGAATTTTGATTATAGCTTCAGAATTAGCTAAGCAATGACTAGAAAGGTCTTAGAACTCATGATATTGAAATTTTTTCTGCAGTTTCTATGTATTTTAACGTGTTTTTAACAAATTTTTCATTTCTTTCACATCATGCTTATATTAATGGGGGTTTTTAAGATTTATTCAAGCTATAGAATTTTAAACGGAGCTTGTGAAAGGGCTAAGAATGGTTTAAAACTATTTATTTAAATTTTCAAGACAGATTCTATACTTTCAACATATATTTTAAGCCTATTTAAGTTTTAGATCTGTTTTCAGTTCGATGCGTTCGAAACATGCTTAGATTTTAAATTTGGTGGTAGATTTTGAAATGTAACTAAAAATGTCTTAAAATCGTGGCTTTCGATTTTTAAGTCGATTCTTAAATCTTTAAATGGATCGTTTTTATCAGATTTATCCAATCCCATAATTCATACCTTACGAAATCCAATCCTGCACTTTCCTTCCCTATCTAAATCCAAAGACCAAAACCTAACGGGCTACCTGGGCCGTCTCCAAAAAAACGCGGTGAACTGGATAATGTCTAGCCCTTTTTTCGCGTCCCTCACATCTAGCCCCAGATAATCGTCGATACCCGGTGTGGATGTAGAATGCTCGGGGCCGCTCCCAGGGTCCCCTTCCACCTAGAATATGCGATTTTGGGGGGCTGTTCGGCCGGCGATTTAGCAGTGTCCATAAATTTTTCGCGTAGCCAGAAGGTTGGGTGAAGCGCGTCAAGAAAGGATAGGTGGTTATTAAGACAGGGGGGCTGTTATTAAGACTTGGTTTTGAGTTTTGGAGGGATATAGATATAGAAAATATATGGGGATGTTTGGAAGATGAGGGATTAATAGGGAATATGAAACCTTAAGGTTATGCTTATGCTTAAGGTGTCTAGCAACATAGCAAAAATTGTATGGTAATGTAAAGGTATACAAATCAATATATAATATATAAATCAATATATAAAATATGTAACGAAACTTTTTTAAGGTTTACGCTAATATAAAAATTATCTACTTAATATCCCATTAAAAAAGAGAAAAATCGATAGAACAATCCACATCTATGCCCTTAAATTCGGCGTAATGTATTAAAACATTCTATAAAATTTTTCTGCTATCATGAATTGCTTTCTGTTTAATGAACTATGAAAAATAGACAAAAATTGGTAGAAGATATTAGTCTTATAGTCTTTAAAATTAAGCTTAAGCGTACAGACCTGGCTGCTTGAAAATTTCAATACCCCCTAGAAATTTGCATATTTTTAGGGACACCGCGAGCCATGTCGGGAAAGGAGCGGAGCGAGCCGCAATGGGTGACCCCGTCGTCGAATCAGGTAGCACGGCAAGTGCGTACGGTGAACCACTCTCTTTCGTTTCCACAACACACCCCCCTTACACCTCCCACCACTCACCCACTACACTGACAATATCACGATTTTTTGCATATTTCACTCACCGAAGCATATTATTATTACTATAATACTATTTTACGCACCGCAATCGAATTTTTGCACCACCACCGCTGCTTTTCAACGTGTGCTCGACCTGTGGCCTTTTGTGCGCTATATCTTTAGGGGCTGCACACACTCCCCGGTGGTGTCGTACGGGCTGACTAACAAGGGAAGGGCACATGCACAGGTTGGAATTTCGAAAAACGCTCGCGGCTACCCTGGGGTAATCGACTACGGAGAACACGATGCTGTCGTCCGATTTTCCTGCCGAGGCTTGTGGACAGAGATACAGCACTTCCGGAAAATCATGATTTGCATGCGAAAAATTAGAATCCGGGGAAGCTTTATTAGGCTCTCCCATCAGTATGCAATCACCAGTCGAGTGGCCGATTGGTAAGCAACTCGCTTGGTAGGATACTGACAGTACGGATCCGCTCGTGATTTTTCGTTTTGCTTTTCGACAAAATTTTTTGCACAAGTCCAGAACCTTTCCTAAATGTGTAAAAAGACGCCTTTGTGGTCCTGTAATACGTCTTGCAATCAAAGAAAAACTTTTTCGAAAATTCTATTTTCCGACCCTCCACCCATCATCGGCTGCCAAACGATCAAAAATTCTGCGGGAAATTTTTTGCAGAAGCCAAGCGTCACGCTCTCGTTTGGTTTTGTAGCACCTTATCCTGTTGCACGGCCCTGGCAAGTTGGTTAGACAGCGCTTTTATAAAAATTTTCCAGATTTTTTGAATTTGATAAGCCGGTGGGTGGGGTGCCCGAAAGATCGCAAAAATAAAATTTTCGAAAAAGTTTTTCTTTGCTTGTTAGACGTATTACAGGGCCACAAAGGCGTCTTTTTACACATTTAGGAAAGGTTCCGTGCAACAGGATAAGGTGCTACAAAACCAAACGAGAGCGTGACGCTTGGCTTCTGCAAAAAATTTCCCGCAGAATTTTTGATCGTTTGGCAGCCGATGATGGGTGGAGGGTCGGAAAATAGAATTTTCGAAAAAGTTTTTCTTTGATTGCAAGACGTATTACAGGACCACAAAGGCGTCTTTTTACACATTTAGGAAAGGTTCTGGACTTGTGCAAAAAATTTTGTCGAAAAGCAAAACGAAAAAATCACGAGCGGATCCGTACCCTCGTCAGTATCCTACCAAGCGAGTTGCTTACCAATCGGCCACTCGACTGGTGATTGCATACTGATGGGAGAGCCTAATAAAGCTTCCCCGGATTCTAATTTTTCGCATGCAAATCATGATTTTCCGGAAGTGCTGTATCTCTGTCCACAAGCCTCGGCAGGAAAATCGGACGACAGCATCGTGTTCTCCGTAGTCGATTACCCCAGGGTAGCCGCGAGCGTTTTTCGAAATTCCAACCTGTGCAATGCACGGGCGTGTCGTTGGGTGTTGAGCGCAACGGGCAATTATCGATTCTAAATTTTATGGCGAATTTAATGACAACGTGCCACTTCAAAAGTCAAAAATTCCTTCGTCTGAATGTTTCAAAAATGTTCTACAATTTTTCTTAGGGCTGCTACGCCTGACGACATTTATGACGTTAGGTGTGGAGCTTACAGAAAAATTATCTAGCTGCAATTAATTTATATTAATTTTTTAGATTAATTGTTAATTTTTAGTCCGACGCACCATTTCAAACCTTTTTCAACATCACGTGTCCGGTTACCTTTTTTACGTTTTACGCAATAAGATATATTTATTTTTTAAATTTTCCTAAACGTTCTACACCTAAATTTACTTACGGCAATAGGTGTGGGACGTACAGGAAAAATTATTGATCACATATGCTTCTTTAAATTCCCGATTTTTATTCATAAATCAAAATTCACAAAAAATCCTTAGATGGTGCTGCTGATCAGCTGTTTCGCGTTTTTAATCCTAACTACATCTTTCACTTTTAACATTTTTCTAACCATTCTACACCTAACGACACTCACCCAACCACCCAAAAACACCCGGCACCTTACCTCACTTGAATTTCCCTTCAAAATAACCCCCCAAACAATTCCAGGATGTTCCGCCCGATTACGAGACGATCGGGACGATCTTCGGCTATGCCCTGGTCGTGCTCTCCTGGATTCTAATCATCATCACATTCCCCTTCTCGATGTGTGTCTGCTTGAAGGTGAGTATCCCTTTCCCTTCCAAGCCGCTCTCCTTGAAATTGACCGCCCTCAATCACTCGGCTGCCAAATATTGCGCCTTTTGAGTGACAAGGGCCTGGTCAGGAAGATAGATCAATACCCATATTACCCAGGGGCCAAGGGTTAGGGCCCAGGGTGGGTGGGCCCTAATTGTCTGTGCCCCCCCCCCCCTTTTGCGCTTCCGCTTGACCCGCCAAAAATTTATGCAGGAGGGAGGTTTTGGGGGAGGGGGTGCTGAACACCGGGCCCTTCTTACTTAAAGAGATGAGGACGGCATCTGTTGAACCCCCCCCTTGGGGAGGGGGGGTTCAACAGGTCCCGCGGCGATCTCGCGCGAGAGAGGGCTCCCAGGGGAGAGGCGCAGAGACATTTTCTTTCCCTCGCGTAATCGATTGACTTATGCCGCCCCTATCTCTTTAAGGTCTTTTAAGGAGCCTTAAAACGAGCCTCCAGGCTAGCAATATGCGAAATTTTAGGGGGGAGGGGTACTTTAGAGGAGTTGTTCGTGGTCTTCCTCGCGTTTTAGGGTAGGGGGAGGATGAGGCTAGGCACAATGCTAATTGTGTGAAGTGGTGGTGGGCCCTCTAAAAGGCCCAGCAGCGTCGTGGCTAACAGGACCTTAGCCTTTCTAGGGCCCTTGGCCTCTTCTGCGCCTCTTTTCCAGGCCATTTTGTGGGTTCGCCTAATTTATTTGGTGGCAGGGGGAGGGGTTGGGGTGGTAGATAATAACAAGTTTTGGGGGGTAAACCGGGTTTCTGGAGAGTTTTCTGGTGAATTTGATTTAGAGGAGTGTTTAAGGACATTTTTATAGCGTACTTTCCGGCATTGGCGTTCTATTGACACACTTTTATACTTATCGGCGCATAGAGAAAGATATAGAGATAAAGAGAGCGGGTTACAGCGAGAGAGAGAGAGAGAGACAGAGAGAGAGACAGAGCACGCGCGAGAGTCTGAGTGCGAGCGCGATAAAAGGATCTAGACGTTATTAGGTATATTACAGACCCCAAAGTGTGCCTTAAATGAGGCGCACTCCCTTTAAAACTCAAAATACATGCTTTTTTCTTAAAAGCCGCTTCAGCCTTATTTTTATGCAAAGTATTACCTTGAACGTATGCTTTGAAGAGCGTCATGCCCCTTTAATTCTAAAAATACATTTTTTTAAGCTGTATCCATACGAAATTTAACTAGAACGACTCGTAACTCATTTTTTGATGAAAAGAACTCTTTTTAAAAGTGTCACACTTCCTTTAAATCCAGATATATATATATATATATATTTTTTTTAAGCTGCATCTATACGAAATTTCCCTCGAAACAACCCGTAACTTTTTTCCATCAAAAACCATCACCCTCCAAACCCTGTTTTTGATGTAATGACCCAATTCCCCCACACTCCAAAATCCATTCCAAATCGATTCCAAACCCCAGAATCCCCACGGGACGCCCACCCTCCAACCGGCAGATATCTGGAATCTGGGAGGAGACGTGGGAATCCCGTGTTGGGTGCCTAGGGGTGGGGGGGGTCTTTTGTTTAGCGTTGCGCGAAACTCGAGAGAAGCAGCTATCGAGGGGTAGAAGCCTTAGCGGGGCTTCTCCCTTCCGAAGAGACCACCCCACAACGTCCTCCTAAATCAAATTGTGATTTTTGGCGGCGTCGGCGAGCCGGGGAGCCTCGATCCCCTAATATGGGGACAACGATCTGGCGAAAAAACACACGCTAGGGTGTGGCTATAGTTCCTGTCGGGCTGAGGAAGGGGAGAGTCAATAGAATTTACTCGTAAAGTTATCAGAGGAGGGGAGAACACCTCTAGGCGGCTATTCTCCTGGGTGTGTCAGGATGAGACAAAGGGTTGTTGTAACGTGTAGCATAGCGTACTTTTTGTTCAGCTTCACTTAGAAAATATTAGGCATATAAACCGAACTTAAGAGCATAACATTTATTATCGTAGCCGCGCTAGTCTAAATTGAGCCTCTATGGCTTTTTATAGTCGACCCACTACCGGGCGTGTTTTTCCTTAACTACTCACTACACCTAAATACCTAAAGACTCCGACTAGCAACCCCCACCACCGCGAAAACAACTTATCGAAAGCACATGAATAGCCCAGACCTAAAAATACGGAGCCCAATATCCCAAACAATGCACCAAAAGCTATCTACCCCAATTGTGACTCGAAGCTACCCCAAAAAGCCAAAAAACGAAGAGGGAAAGTCAGATTCGGGGACACTCATCCAGGGCTTTGGATTGGGACACTGAGTGCCATGAATTTTCTTAAGGGAAGGGCTGAAGATTTGGAGCTGTTGAATCAAACGAGCATTAAAAAATACCTTGTCTAGGTCATCAAAGAATACGAGCGAGTCGTCATCTTCCGGATTGGTCGTCTCGTGTTCGGTGGGGCCCGTGGCCCTGGAATGATTTTCATCATCCCCTGCATTGATACCTATCGCAAAATTGATCTTCGGTGAGTAAAATCGATGCGGATATCTTGGTTGAAAAACCGCTTCGCGGCTATCAGGGTCTGTATTTTTCATAGTTTGCCCCGAATGCTTATGACAAAAAAAAAATTAAAATTATAAGGACCGGTATTACCCAGTTATGTAGAATGGACCCACTTCCGGCAAAATGATTAAAAAATGATTTTCCGGTAAGAACAAATTATAAAATCCAAACTAGTAGATTTGAATAATCTAATATGCGTACGTCGTCTATAGGCCACTACACAACTATTGACATACCATACTTACCCTAAAATTTTTCCCCTATGACGATGCCACTAGACGGTGAATTCCATGATGGAAATAGCTTTCGACTCATTACTATTTTTCTATATAGAAAATTCAAATTACCACCATTTTAGTGTCGTCTCCTATGCCGTGCCCCCTCAGGAAATCCTATCAAAGGATTCGGTGACAGTGTCCGTGGACGCTGTCGTGTATTTCCGTACCTCTGACCCGATCGCCTCGGTCAACAATGTTGATGATGCCATTTATTCGACCAAGCTCCTCGCCCAAACTACCCTCAGGAATGCGCTGGGTAAGTGACTTTACAGCCCAGCTGCCTTAATTGATGCTCAATTTCTTAAACTAAATTTTTAGGTATGAAAACCCTCACTGAAATGCTCACGGAGCGTGAAGCTATCGCTCAACTTTGCGAGACGATCCTCGACGAGGGTACTGAACATTGGGGTGTAAAGGTAAGCCATCATTTAAAGTATATTCTGCGTTGTCTTTCTTTATATACTAATATTTTAGTATATTACGTATATCTGATGCATTTTCAAGTACATCTTGCTATAGTTGTGCCCAAACATGCCCACCCCGGCAAAAGCAATCCCTTTGCACACTTCTTGCCATCTTGGAGCGACAGAGAGAGAGAGAGAGGAGAGAGAGAGAGAGAGAGAGAGAGGAGAGAGAGACAGGCAGACAGACCAAGGAAAAGGGAAGGGGTTTTTGCGCATAGATTGGATTACATTCGATAGCTTGCGCGCGGTGGCTCATCGACTTTGCTCCTAGTTTGAAGCGTGGGGTTGGGGTTAGAGGACTTGGGGGTGATTTTTAGAGAAAAATCATGTCTTATAATTATTTAATAAGCTTGTAGACTTTAGCATAAACGTCAAACTTTAAAAACTGCTTTATGCACCTTAAAATTAGATGTAACGAAACCTTAATGTATATTTATCAGCTCTTAAAGCCGGAGTGTAATGCAATTGTAAAAACAGGCTGAATAAAGTATACAAGCGTAACTTAAGTCATTATAATCCCTCTACAGGTAGAGCGAGTGGAAGTGAAAGACATCCGTCTGCCCCAACAGCTCACCAGGGCCATGGCCGCCGAAGCGGAGGCGGCTCGTGAAGCTCGTGCTAAGGTCGTCGCGGCTGAGGGAGAGCAGAAGGTATGTGATCTACAAAATACCGTTAAATCCTTGTTAACTACTACTCAATATAAGCATACTTTAAATTCCAGGCCTCCCGGGCGCTCAAAGAAGCCGCCGATGTGATCCAGGCCAATCCAGTGGCCCTACAACTTCGTCATCTCCAGGCTCTTTCATCTATTGCGTAAGTTTTGGGTTACAATTTTTATTAAATATTAATTAATAAATATAATTATTTATAATGACATTCTATATAATTGTTTTTTTAGCGCTGAACACAACTCAACAATCGTCTTCCCGGTCCCTGTCGAAATGTTTGGAGCATTTATGAAAAAGGAAAACTAGCCCCCCTCAAATATTCTCGTGGCTGTACAAAGATCTTTCATTATGGTTCTTTTTATCCATTAAATTTTTTATATTACCGTATCTTTTCTGAAATTCCTCTCACAATTTGCTAGTCAAATCCGGAATCTTATCGAACTATTCACACTTATTTAGCGATCCATTTTTGGGTACAGAGCTTATTTTTCGCGTTTTTTACCAGCATCCAATACTGTAGTTTTTTTCACTAAAATTGTAAGGCATTATTGATCGATTTTTTAACTTTTCAAATCATTTAGACTGCCATAATATTTTTTTACATTTTAATTAGAATTAAAAATGACAATTTCCACATTTTCACACATACAGTTAGCCGCCAAAGATGTTTTGCCAAATCGACCCCCATAATCTCCTAAAAGTCCTCGAGTGTACTTTCTTTTTAATGTCATTTTTGTGCTTCTCAATCCTAATTGATGTTCCCAATTTTAATCTTTATTTGAATATTTTTGAATTTTCACCCCCATCTGTCCGGTTCTTCCCACGTCCTGTTTTATGGTGTTTTGTCGGTATCAAAAAATGTTTTTGTTCTTCTTTCTTTTTTAATATATGTAAGGTGATATGCAATCTGGAACGATTTCTCCGAATAAATTCTGATAGAGAAGAGGGTGGTCTCTGAAATGCAAAAAATTGGAAAAGATAACGAGGATTTTGAAATTGGGAATACAGATGATTCACCAGATAAAGGCTTGGAATTCAAAGTTTTTATAGGCATGACTAGGTTTTTGGAAATCATCAGTTTTAGGGTAACCACGCCTAGATTAGGGTTTGATGCGTGGGTTCATATGTTATCAGTGAGTTTTTGGGCATCGTAATCCAGAGATTAAAAAAAATATAGCAAAATTAGTCCGAAAAAGAAGTCAAAAAGTTTTGGTCGTAAATTCGGAAGTAGGAAGAAGCCGCTGGATTTAAGACTCTAATCTAGTATAAAAACATTTTTCGGCTTCTTTTTATTTTTTTTTAATCCGCAAAGAGCACGCCCCTACTACGTCGAAACTCCTCCTAAACCTTGCCCTCCAAAGCCATGACTGTATGCCTAGAATGATTTTTTTTTGATGTGTCACCCCCGCTGCACGTCTCCAAAACTCAAATGCCCTCCCCCGATTCCCCAGACACACACCCAAAAAGATAAGACCCGCGTATTTCAAGGAGTATCTCCCTATTTCCGCGTCATTCTTCTTGACGCCCTGCGCCATGCTTCGATTTCTACTGCTACTCGCCATTAGTGCGGCGGTGGTCTCGTGTTTTGGCGAAAATGGCCAGTACCAGCTGGACGAGCTCAACCCGTCCTTCATCCTGCGTGGCGATGAGTTTGGGAATGACGTAGGGTGGCTTAGACAGAAAAATATTTGAGATTTAGACGATAGTTATCAACCCTAACGAGACTGGCGCAACGCTGCAAATTAACGGTCTTTTTACGAATGTTAACAATGTGTCGTTGAGTGTTGTCACGCCAACTCAACTATTTACGTATGTATTTAAGTGAATATCGTTTCAAGACTTTCTATCAAAATGTCGAAATTGGTAATGACAAAAATAAAAATGTCGAAATTTCATAAGCCGAGATTTTTTGCGTAGAATTTGGGTATTTGTTTGGGTTTTTTTTAGCAAAAATTGCTCCTAATCAAATCATAAGCAAAAATTTTTTAGGCAAAGCCAAATCATTTCAAATGGTGCTCGAGGCTTGAGAATTGTCTTTTTCCCAGTGACGATCGCGGTGGCGAAATCGAGCGATAGGAATTTTTGGCTGTCTGTCACCCTGATTTCGCCTAGTAGGTCTTAAAGGGATTCGCAAGCGTCAAGGCTATGGATTCTGACCGCTACGATACTAAAAATTTCAGAAAGTGTCCCCAATGACGTTGGCTTGGATGATTATGTCCTCCAAACATTTACGCCTACGACCAAAATCACTCCTCCTTACACAATCCAATCAAACTCCACCACTTCTACGTTGCGGACAATCGTTAATACCCAATACTCAAAAACGGCTTGCTTCCCATTTGAGATGACGGACCTGAAAATTGTAAGTAAAAATATAACTACTAAAATTATTCATAGGACACTGGGTGCAACATCACCATGTATGCCGGCGCTGCACCATACAAAAAATCCGCAATTCTCTACCAATTAATTCGTGTTACGTACGATACCTTCAAATTATTTAGATGCTTTGTATTCTTTAGTGACCACGACTACAACACCTTCTATGGGGCCACTTTCTCGTATAACTACTACACTTTCCAAATTCCGGCCGGTTGTACCGTATCATTCCGGTTGGCTGAATCAAAAAGTGAATTCAAATCCATTTAAAACTAATTTAATCTGTTTCTATTTAATTAAAAAACGTTGATTAAATTTAGATATCACCGAACGGGACTACGATCCGGGTTATTGGACCCAAGGGTTTGTTGCTAGCTGCGAATTCCCAGGATTTGGTCTGAACCAATATGCCCCGGCAACACCCGTCCATACTTTAATTCGAGGTATGGATCCCCATATTCCTTTTAATATTAAGATTTTCTAGCAAAAGGCCAAAGCACAATTGACATCAAAGCGATGCTTTGGAGCCAAACGAAGGTCGGAAATGGAGGCAGTTTCCAGGCTTCAGTTTTGGAAGGCGGAAAGGCGGTGGCCACCCTTAATCAGTAAGGTTTTTGTTGGCTTTTACTTATCAATAACCTATTGTATAAAAACCTGCTTAAAGGTTACACGATTGGTATATTAATTTGAATATTTAGGACCGACAAAAATCTCGAAGGGCACGGCCATGATCTGCAAGTCGACTACACCCCGGGAGCGCCCGGCCGCACTGGACTCCTATTAACATATTCATTTGGAGATCCAGATGTGGTCTACTATGATGTCAGCTCTGATCCCCTAATCTACGACACAAGGATCATGTCTACGGTATGATTCTAGCAAATAGCGTACATAATTGTGTTATAGAAGGCCTATCAAGTCCAATGCACTGGTGCCATCGTTCAAGTCAATGCTAATAATGCCACTGGAGCTGGAAATATCATTTTTACAGATGCTACGCAGACTTGGAGGTATGTAGCTTGTTTCCTAGCGTATTAAATGATTTTAGTATCCTGGACGTAGCCAAACAATCTCGACGATTCAACGGATACGTTCATGTCTCTGGCAATGACAACTCGGCCTACGTTGCCGCCTTCACTTGCCTGAATCAAAGTGAAGAATTTATCTTAATTTTTAGTGATTCGCTTTAGATATGGATTCCACTGGCATGGGCCTCGACAACTACCAAATCTATAGCTACCGACAAAACACCAAATCGACTTTGGTCATCCCAAGTAAAAGTGGACCCCAAGCAGTCACCATCGCTCCGACAATACTTTCGAGCTTGGGCGTATTCCTTTCCCGACCTGTTGTGGTAAGTTAAAAAAATTCAACTTTATGAGAATTTTAAGTCGGGCTCTGGCTGTAGCGCCCAGCTTTACGTCTCCGGAGTTCCATCGAAGAACCGTAAAAGCGCAATGATGCTGTATAAATTCAAGTAAGGGACTAATAGACTTTATATATCTACTTTTCTAGTTCGTCTACTACTGATAAATTCGTCCAATCCGGCTTGTTCTCAGTTTTTACTTTCGTGCTCCCGGCTGGTTGCGGATTTAACGTTGACCTAGCTGATAGCCCAGGTCTTAATAATTAAATTTTGACAAAAAAGTAGTATTTAGATAATAACGCCTCATATGACGATGGTGCTCATGGATTTATGGTTAGCAAGGAATATCCGGGATATTTGTATAACTATTGGGGCCTGGCTGCCAGCAGTTTTTCAAAGACTTTCATCAGTAAGTTTCCGGCATAGATGCCTTAAATATATATGATTCTAGAAAACACAAACCTTGATGACGTCAAGTTCACTATTGATATGCCCCTGGTAGACCCTGGAACCGGAATGCTCAATTTAACGATCTTCAACACGGATAAAAATACAAACCAGATAATGTGGGTTCAAGCCTGGTCTTTGCATACAAAGATTTTGAAGTAGCAGCTACTCGACGGATCGGCATCTCTCCAGCGTCGGATTTATGATGAGAATAGACTGGCAACCCCAATTCACAAAAAGTGGAATGTTACTCAAATGGAGAATGGATGCTGTGAAAGCCGGCAGTGCGCCAAGTCTATTTGCTGCGTTGTTTGTCGTATTTTATTATTTGTGGAAGTGAATTTGTTTTGGTGCTACTATCGGGTCACTTAACGCGATAAATTTTGTAATTCCTCTAACATAATCCCTCTGTCAAACACCGAGATCACGGATTGCCTAGGATGGAATTTAAAACTAAAAACCACGGGTAATAACTGTCCTTACTTGCCAAGCTTGCCAGGCTACACGGTTTAGAGTCAAAACTAAGTCAACCTAAACTAAGCCAAAACTTCTGACCTTCCTAACTGCAAAAATTTAATGGATTTCAAATTCGATCAATTTTTCCTTCAAACTGTTACGAAACTCACCCATCGCTTCACATAGAGATAAGCCCCCTCACGTAGTTCGAGTCGTACCTATCGGTTTCCGCGCTATTCCGCCGTCACATTCGGCCAATTTAATATAATGATCTTATAGCATGACCTTTGGTTGAAAACTTTTACTATGGTTGAAAACTATCGGCTTCTCATAGGATAACGGGGAGGGGGGCGATTTTCGAGATCCAATATGTACCCTTTCTTAAACTTCGAAAGAACACCCCTCTACTACGTCGAAGCTTCTCCTAAACCTTGCGCTCTAAAGATAATGATATGACTAAAATGTTTTTTTTTTATGTGGGACCCCCTACACCCCCTTCAAAGCTCAACTGCCCTCCCCCACACCCAAAGCCAGATAAAACCCGCTTTCAAGTTGCATCTCCGTATTTCTGCGGATTACTTTCGACGCCCTGCGTCATGCTTCGATTTCTGCTGCTACTGGCCATAAGAGCATCGTCGGTTGCTGCCTTTGGCGAAAATGGCCAGTACCATCTCGACGAATCCAACCCATCTTTCATCATGCGTGGCGATGAATTTGGGACTGATGTATACTAATTACTGAATACGCAAAATATCGAATTTCAGGCGATTATCATCAACACTAATGTGACAGGCGCAACGCTACAAATTAATGGCCTGTTTACGAATGTTGCCAATGTTTCATTGAGCGTTGTTGCTGACACTCAACTGTTTACGTTTGTGAATGGATTTTAAGGAAAACCCGTTTTTTTAGGCAAACAAACATCTACTCGCAGGGTCCTCGCGGATTGAGGCTAATCTTTTTCCCAGTGACGATCAATGTCGCGGAATCGAGCGACAAGAATTTTTGGCTGTCCTTTAGCCTGACTTCACATAGTACGTTTTTAAGGGGACAAGAGTTCTGTTCTCATTCGCGCGCGCGGGATCGAACCAACTCTTCTAAAACAAACTGGTTACTGCCGAAAAGGCTTTATTGAGATTGCTGCCAGGAAATCGATTTTGTTTGTTTTGTTGAAAAACCCGAAAAGTCGTAATGCCCTGCTTGGCATCCAATTTATCGATCTCGATAATTCCGCGACCAGTTTTGTTAATCAGAGCGGCTAGAATGATTAAAAATAGGTGCAGATTCCGGAAATAGTGTCAGAATAAACAAGTTCGCGCATCTTTATGCCGAAATCCGGCGGCGCGGTCGGGTCGCGGCAGTTAGTCAATCCAAGATGCATGTTTTAGACAGCTTCAACTACGACATCGGATTAGATGATTACGTCCTTCAAACCTTTACTCCTGCAAGCAAGATCACCCCGCCATACACCATGCGATCTAATGCCACCACGGCTGCCCTGATGACAATCATTAACACCCAGTACACAAAAACAGATTGCTTCCCATTCGAGATGACGGACCTGAAAATCGTTAGTGAAAACCTATGTTTTTTAGTGATTATTAGGACACTGGGTGCAACATCTCAATGTATGCCGGTACCGCTCCATATATAGGAACCGAACTTCTCTATCAACTAATTCGTGTCACGTAGAAGATCAGAAAGGTTTTTGTAGTATTTTCTTTTAGCGATCATGACTACGACACCTTCTACGGAGCCACTTTCCTACAACTACTACACTTTCCAAATTCCCGCCAATTGTACGGTTTCCTTCCGGTTGGCTGAATCGAAGAGTAAGTTAAAACCGAGGCCAAAAAGGAAATAAAAATGAATACGTTTGGATGATCATTCCGGTAGGCTGCATCAAAAAGTAAATTAAAATCTAATTGAACACAATTTTAATCTAATGCTAATTCGTTAAAAAACTTTGATTAAATTCAGATATCACCGAACGGGACTACGATCCGGGGTATTGGACGCAAGGATTTGTTGCCAGCTGCGAGTTCCCGGGATATGGTATGAATCAATATGCCCCGGCGACGCCAGTTCATCAATTGATCCGAGGTAAAAGACCCCTTACCTTTTGAATAATTATTTCTAATTTAGCACGGGGCAAAAGCACAATCAACATCGATGGAAAGCTATCCGGCCATTCGAATGTTGGCAACGGTGGTAATTTCGACGCTTCAATCTTGGAAAACGGAAAGCCGGTTGCTGCCCTTAATGGGTAAGTTTTTCACTGAATACAACCTATTCAGGTGATATTTAACACCCAAATTTTGCTGTGCTAGATTCGATATGTTTAGGACTGGAAACAATAATAAACTAAAAGGAAAAGGCCATGATCTGCAAATCGACTATAACCCGGGCGCGGCCGGGCGGACTGGATTCCTTTTCACATATTCTTTTGGCGATCCGGATGTTATATACTACGATCTCAGCAAGGATCCGTTGATCTATGATACGAGAATGCATTCCACCGTAGAACACCAACCCATTACGTATAGGCTCAAGTTTCAGAAGGACTACATGACTACATGTTACGGTTCCGTCGTTCAAGTGAATGCTAATAATGTCACGGGAGCTGGAAATATATTTTTTACGGACGCAACTCAGACTTGGAAGTATGTAATATGCCTTATGTTGTATAGAATGAATGTTTAGCATCATGGATGTCGCCAACCAAGCCCGACGATTTACCGAATACGTTCATGTTGCCACCAATGACAATTCCGCCTACGTTGCAGCATTTACTTGCGTTGATAAAAGTAAGGCAGTTTTATTCAAGACCCTCACATAATTTTGTTTAGGTACGGACTCTGCCGGTATGGGCCTCGACGACTACAAAATCTATAGCTACCAACAAAACACCAAATCGACTTTGGTAATCCCAAGCAAAACTGGAGCCCAGGCAGTCACCATTGCTCCGATCGTTCTCTCAACCCAGGGTGTGTACCTGGCCCGTCCCACTATTGTAGGCTGGGACCTTAAGTTTCTATAAAAATTCTCAGAATGGATCAAGTTGTAATGTTCCGCTTTATGTTTCCGGAATCCCATCCAAATATCGCAAAAGTACAATGATGCTTTATAACTTTAAGTAGGTAACTTATGCATTTTCATACACCTTTCTAGCTCATCTACTACTGACAATTTTGTCCAGTCCGGTCTGTTTTCCGTATTTACATTGATCGTCCCGGCCGGTTGCGACTTTTCCATCGATCTCGCCGATAAGCCAGGTTTTATCAATGGAATTTGCAAATCATGTGGAATGTTTAGATGACACTATCAATTCATGCACCTTTGGTGCTCATGGTTTTGTCGTTAGCAAAGAGTATCCGGGCTATAAGAACAACTATTTCTCGGCGGTCACTAGCAGCTTTTCAAGGGCCTTTACGAGTAAGTTGATTTAGAAAACGATAGATGGAGAGAGGCGTGCGAGAGAGCAAGAGTATGGTCGTAAAAAACCCATCTTTCGCCTTTTAATACATCTTATAGAAAATTACTACCTCGCTGGCGGGAAGTTCACTGTCGATATCCCGATAGTCGAACCTGGTACCGGACTGTTAAATATAACAATCTACAATACGGACATGAACACCAACATGATATTGTCTGTTCAACTTTGCCTTTTGACAATAGATCCTTAAGTGACAGCTACGCATGGGACAGGCACTTCTCTGACAAAGGATATATGTTGAACATCGATTGGAAGCCACAGTTCTCCAGTAGCGGGATGTTGCTGAGGTGGAGGTTGGATGCTGTGAAGTCTGGTAGTGTGCCATGTCTACTTGTTGCCCTGTTTGTTGCGGTGTATTATTTGTGGAAATAATTGTTTGGGTGCTGACTGCGGGTGGTTTTCGATAAATTATGTTTTTATACTGTACAGCCCGCACGACAAGCAATCGGTATATAGTTTTGAGAAAAGAGAAGAGAAGTTGTTTTGCTAATGAAAAATGAAGCGGATATCGAATTTCTAAGAAATAGATAGATAAATAGACAAATGTTGGGATATTCAGGTTTATTAGAGAATGGTTTAGAAGTCGTTCAACGGCATTTTCTTGTTGAACGCCTTGCTGGGCCGCCGCCTCGAATTCTCATCAGCCCGAACGACCGTCACGAGGGCCACTTCATCTTGACGAACGGAACGGAGAGAATGGAGAGAGTGCAAAGATCGATGGGACATTGACGAGCGTGTAGAACCGGTTTCGGATGGCATGGCTAAAAATAACTTACTTTAGAAGCTTTACAAAACTATATATAAAAATCCTAGTAGCAAAATTTGTAATTTACGTAATAAAACTTCAAAATAGAACTTACCATGAATTTTCTGCAACCTCGGATCCGGTTTCCTTGCCTTCACCTCTTTTTCCGGATATTCCAATCCATTATCCGCAAAATATTCGCGCAATTCCTCGTCCGGAATGTCGACAGCTGTCTGCCGGCAAAGGTATTTCCCTTCATCATTCAGATCCATACTCTGAAACGATTTTATTAACGGAATTTGGATCAAGCTAAACTTTATAAAGAGGAAAAACTATGATAAACCTAATAACGACGACGAACACCTAATATAGTTTAGTTCAAAATCGACTATCCCAACGTTAGAATACCCCCACTCAGAAGCCCCAACCGGGAAACACCGGATTAGCGAAACTACAGCCCCCCAAAAATAAACCAAATTGGCCGGAAGGGCGGGGCCAATAACCCTGATAAAACGGGCGATTGGTAGACAGAATCGTATAATCAAAACAAGGGATGAATGAAGTGGCTCGGCCAGTTTATCTTGAAGTATACAAAAGTTGAGCGGAAATTCCCACACCAGGTAACAAATCCGGTAGACAATCCTCAAGGCGGGGCCAAAAAGGGAGCCGAAAGACGAAAACCCTAAACCCGGCTCTCAGGTCTTGATGGACCCTAGTCCAAAATCCGGATGATTTTAGGATTTTTTTTTGTTGTGAAATCCGAAAGATGATCAGGATTAGATAGCCTGGGACTGGATTGTCAGCGGGGGATTTTTAGCAAAGGGGCAACCAGTTTTTTTTTGTTTTCCACCTATACCAACCTGTTGGTAAGATATAAGGCATTTTTTTATAGTGCTTTAGTAGTTTTTTTTTATTGTAGAAAGTTATAAAAATCGTTGAAAAAGGTTTGAAAATACGAAAAATTTTTCCAAAAAGTCAAAATTTTGGAAAGTTATGATGTTTTCATGATTAAATTTGGTTTGCCCTCCTCAGTAAATCCCCCCGCTAACAGTCCAGTACCGATAGCCCTGGAATCAGAAAGCCTACCATTCGCTTGTCGACAGGAAGATTTCGGACAATCTTTTCGATAGAATGTGAAGAATGGCGATTGAAGATGACACTAGAATTAGTAGGGACGTCGGGATGGTCCGACAATTCTCTCACTTCTCGCGAAGTTGACGAAGCGATGGGGGGCGACGTTTTTCGAACGTTGGCTCGGTCCACTCGCGACTTGTGGATTGTTCTTCCAGCCTGCAAAATTAGTGTACATATTTATTAACGGGGGGCGGGGTAAAATCACGGGTGCCACTCCATATTTCGAATTTTGTCAATTTACTATAGGATTTCGCAAGTGCCATTCTATAAAGCATCAAAAAATTCTAAAATACTGAATTTTAATTCGAGAAAAATCCGGTTTCAAGTTTTTACAAGGTTTCAAGGTAGGAAAACTTTGGTCGGAAAACGCATTGCATAACAGGAAATCTATTTTCGATCCTTTCGAAAATACTGATAAATAGGTCTCGAAAAATACGAAAAGTTTTCTACAACGAGAAGATTGCTATTTCTAAGTATTTTTATTATCAAGAAACTTTCTTTTTGTCTTAGGCTTAGCCAGGCTTAGGCTTAGCTTAGCTTAGGCTGAGAGTTAGGTTTCCGCATCAACGTCTCCCAAAAACGGATTAAATCTAATAAATAAAACCATACAATTTCTTTTTCAACCTATACCCCAGACCACTAGTAATAAAAACTCACAACTGGCCACTCTAACGCACAAAAAGCGACCAATTAGTTTTTTGAACTACCGCCCACTCCGCGACCACCAAAACCAACCCCATTTTGCCAAAAAAAAACACATAGTAGCTCACCTCTGAACTGGAAGCGTCTGCACCGACGTTAGCGAGCCGGAACGTTCTAGGATTCAGGGTTGAATGTAGGTTTTGGCTGGGGGTTTTCCAAGAAAGAACGGACCGCTCGTAAATATCTGGCCTGCTTTCACAATTTGCCCTTTCTCCCCTCGCTGGGCCCCTATTTTTGGATTACGAAAACAGCGAGAGGGACGGGTCTTTCCCTTCCACGAGACGAATGCCAGAATTCATTTGCTTAGAGAATGTTCTAAAATAATTCAGAAACCCTTGATTTAATTAAATTTATAGAAAGAATCGTTTTAGGTGGGTGTAAAGCTTTGTTCTTTGGACAAAGCTTGAAATTCCCCAGCAAAATATCTTTTTTTTTAATTACTGAGTGACTATGGTATTAGAGCAAATTTTACAAAAAAACGATTTTGCCAGTTCTAACCCGCACTTAACAAAATACACATTTTTAAAAACCTTGGCTAAACTACAGCTAAACTCGCCGCTTGCCGACTCTCGCCTACTGGTTCTCGGTTACCTTTTAGTCTAGAGGGCTGTAAGGTATACCAAAATACTGGCAAGGGTAAGTCGAGTATTTTGGTATACTTTACAGCCCTGTAGATACAAAAGTTAAAGTCGGCGGGCGGAGGGGGCATATCCAGTAATACCGAAACTTTTCCTGGAAGATCGTAAAATTTTGGCAGTTTTTTATGTAGACTAAGATTTATTTAGATTATTTAGTTCTACCGAAAAAGCTATCTTAAAACGACAAAAACAGCTAAAAACAACTGCTTCCAAAACAAACCTCTTCGCATAGGAGTTCTTCCAAAATGTGTAAAACTCAACGTAGACAATCGGCGAACAGGACTAAAAAAGTTGAAGTTATAACTCTCTAAAATACAGATCCAAGTGTTTCAAAGTCCCCAAGGACTACCCGATACTAATTGAGCCCGCCAAGGAAACGGAACGCTAATTTTCCGACAGCCAAAAGCTGGAAATAGGATGGGCCCGGAACCCCGGAGAGCTGAACAGACATTGGCATAGAAAAAATGGGACCCGGGGTGAGGGTGGGATATATTGGGGCGGCTATGGAACCCATTTCCCGGTTTGAATAGGGCTTTTTAGAGGTTGTAGGGGAGGGAAAAGGAAAAAGGAAATAAAAGAGAAGTGGCTGGGATGGATGAGTCTAAAGCATACTCCCGGAATAGTTTGATATCGGGAAATGGAGAAGCGGATTTTTGAGGGGACCATAAATTAGCGGAAGGTGGTTCGGGGAGCAAGAGGGTGTTTGTTAGGGAGCATATGGTCGGGAAAATGTTTTAGAAGCTATGATTGGTGGCATATATTGTTATGGCAGGGTCACGGAGGCCAGCTGTAGAACGTGGATTCTGGGAAGAGACAGTTTTTGAGCGAGTGGAGGGATAAATCATGGTATAACTGGTATCGTCTTCGACTCTATTAACGGTTGAAATTATCTACTGTCATAACAACCCTGGATATCGATATAAAAGACGAATAATAAATAAGAAAAACTTTCAAATATCAAATTTAAAAAAGTTATTATCGAAATGTTAATGTTTAGGTATATCTAAGGCAAGAAGGCTTACTGTAACTTCAAATAAAAAATATAGTTGTAAAATCAAACAGTATTAGCTATAAATGATGATTATCAGGAATCAAAAGCATTATTGGGGCCAAGAATTTTTTCGAAAATCATATTTCATGCAAGATTTTGTCGAAAATTACTTTTCGCAACGTCGTACTTCGAAACTCACTTTTCCGAAAATCAGAAATTTGTAAATTCGCGTTGTTTTTTCATACCATTTTTGACATTTTCCTATTAGTAGCTGTCTGCAAATTTTTCGAGATCCTGATTTTCAAAAGAGTGGTTTTCGAAAAAGTGGTTTGTGGAAACAAAGGTTTCGAAAAAGTTCTTGTCGGAAATATTACTTTCAAAAAAGTGTATCTAAAACTAATATTATGCTAAACGGAACAAAAAATCTGCTAATCTTAGCGCTAAATAAATTTGATCTGAAATTTAACATTCAGAGTGGGTTACGCAATTTTTTAAACTCCATTCCAACTAGCTCTAGACCAAAAACTAAACCCTAGCCAATCCGAACGCCTCAAAAATCCCAAACAATTCCCAAAATCCCGTCCCAAACCCCCGGAATTCTCGTGCCGCCACGCCGAACATGTGGTTGAGGATGGATAGAGGAGGAGCAAGAGGACCCGACAGTCCCCCCGATCGACCATTGCGATAGGTGAGGACGAGCCGATGAGGGTGGCTGTATGTATGTCTGTATGTTTGTCGGGATCGATGGAAACGCGAGGGTGGCAGATGCCGGCAGACCCATTTCGACGGCTTTCGACTTCATAATCTATCGCGACCCCCGGAACTAGCAATGCGCAACATAGAAAAGGGGGAGGGGGTCAGTGGGGTCGGATTTTTAGGTTTATTTTTGAGAAGGAGCCGTTATTAAGTCATAGTGAGATTTTTGACGCATCACTCAAAAATCTTCAAACTCTGCCCAAACTTCAGGATTTTTGAGAAAATCCTCCCGGAATTTTGTCAAAGCTGAATCCTGATGCCACGTTTGTCCCTTCTTTAGCCATCCTGATTTAAGAAAAAATTTAAATTAAGATAAAGTTAAAGAAAATTAGGGAGTTATGATGCTAATGCTAATTTCGAGGCACTTTATCCTTTCTTTGAAAGATGGGAATTGTGCAGAATTTCAAAAAATATTACTTTTTCGCATGCTTTGATGATTTTAATAATTTTTATTTTACATAAAGATAGCATTGCATTTCATTGCTTCCTGCGAAACGCATAGTATGCTAATTAGAATTAAGCTATAGATGAAGCTATGTGAACTGACAATTCCGCAAAATGAATATTGGTTTTTTAGATTGCCGTAAACCTTGGAGTAGCGTGAATTATACTAATTAAAATTCATCAAACTAAGTTTTGCGAGCTGAAAATACGCTAAATAAATGTTGAGCCATTAAAATCTATCGAATCACCAAATGAAATTATCGAAAATTTTATTGCTGAAATGGATCTTTTTTGTCGCATTTTATAAAATTAGATAATGTAATTAACCACTTTAGAAAAATTACCAACCTCAACGGAACAAGGGAAATACTCCTCGCCGACAACCGATCTAAAATTGGATCTGCAGCCTGGGGCGTCAATTGAAATGTCGTCTGAAATGCCCGCCGTCTGGTCCTGGCTATTGACGTGCTCTGCATCAGATCTAAACCGAGCCTCAGTCAGCCAGTTTTCCGCCGACAATTTCCGCTCACCCGTCTCCAAATCGTACAAAGTGCCCCGTTCTGGAACTTTTCGCGTGATCAGCGAGATTGTTGACTTGAAGATGTAGATGAACATTTCCATTAGGGTTACACAGCTGCAGCCAAGGAATAGGGAAGTTGCACCCCCGATTAGGGCTAAAACAAGTTGGAAATAGACTTTATATATATTCTTACAAAGCACATCGATTAATCCAATTTTTCTCGTTTCCGTCCTTTCCTCAATATTTGTATCCATCACGATTTCAAGCTTAGAAAATCGGCGGCTGCTTTTGATCTTCGCTTTTTGGTAGTATTTCTCTAGCCGCACATCAAGGTCTGTTTTCTCGCATTCCGGCACGCAACGGAAATCTAAAAAAACTATCAAATTCAACCCCTTTTCTTACTTTGTATCTTTTTAATTTCCTTCTCCGTGGGAACAATCGGTTTTGCACATTCCGTAAAATTCCCGTTAAAAAGCGAAAAATGCGCCTTCGGGATGCAGTCATTTGCCTCGTAATAGTACGCGGCAATCCGGAGCCTTTCGCACAACCGTAGCGTATAGGAGCTGTTCGGAATAAAGCTCTTGGGGACCTTCAGCTCGTGCCAAGAATCCATACAGTGCCCGCCTTCACTTGCTGGCAGGAGTATCCTCTAAAATAATGTCCTAAAAAATTTCTTAAAATTTGTAAGTCACGGCCTGGCTACGATATTGTTAATAGCTCACAGCGCACTTTGCGCATGCCTAGATGAAGCCGATTGAGGCGCGCGAATGGTAGATTAACCCGCGATTTCACCGGAAGTCCCAAAAATAACGTCAGCTCCATTGGGATTAAGGCCATTTCTAAAGATTATTTGAAATTTTGTAATTTTTAGATACCTTTTGTAAGATGGTCTATCACTAGGTTTTTCTTTACTTTCTTTAGAATATGCTTCAGCCCGAAAAGAAAATCGTAAAATAGAACACAATCATCCTCCACTTCTTTGCACTTGTAGACGGCGTTGAGATCGAATTGAGAGCAATTAAGCCTACAAATTGCATATTGATTTAATGGGATATATACCTTGAGCTATGCTTACATAATTTAAATTTCATATCGTTAAAGGGAGATATTGATAATCGTGAGCTTTTCATCATAAAAGAAGACTTCCGGTGGTATGAGATTATTGTTCGACCACTCTAAGAATAATTGTAAAATTGAGAGACGTTTATATAACTTACAAAAAGCATAAAAAATACTAAACAGTTGATGACCACTACGCACCAAAAAACACGTGACGCCCAGGTTTGGGCTACAAATATTCGACGCTAAAAATTAACATAATTAGTAGATTTCGAAAAATTCTTGCCATTCCATGAAAAGTCGTTAAATCTGTATAATAGCGTCCTTCCTCATCATGAACGTGAATATAAACGTTTGGAATTTCTGCAGCTTCATCCTCAGCTTCTCCTGCAGAATCTAGAGATAATAAACGAGTTGAGTCAATGTTTTGGTAAATACCTACCATGTTCACTTGGGGGTGGCTCTTGGCTGGCTCTACTAATTCGTTCCGGATCGATACCCCGTTCATCTGGGGTCAATTGTCTCAAAATGGCTTTCACTTCTGAGGGGAAGAGCCGGGGTCGTGTATAATCAAAATCCACATCGAAATCGTCGACCTGAAAGTTCAATAATGGTTTATGGCTTGCAAGAATAGATTTTAAGCTGCTTTCCGTTTAAATTAAATTATGGATTGTTTAAAACTAATAATTGACATATTTTTGTTGCACGCCGACACAAAAAAACGCCAAAAATAGGGAAAATATCGAGAATCCAGGGAGTTTCGCAAAAATCTTGGCTAAGTTTATTGGTAAGAACGCTCAGTATAATTCCCTTAAGTTTAACTCAAAAATTTCGATACCTTTCGAATAATCGAAGCTTTATGCCCTTTGCTGATACCAAGCCCCATATTTTGAATGAAAGCGAAAAATAATGTGCCATCAACTGCCCACCAGCCCTAACACCTCCGCCTCCAAAAACCATCAAAATTTACGACTTTCTCGCCCCTCCCCGTTAATACCCCCCAACTCCAATCTCATACCTCATCAAAATCAGTTTCGCTCATTCAATGGTGTTTAGCGATGGACGAGAAATTGTGGGGCGGAGGGATAAAGGAAAAGACTGCTAGGAGGCCTCGGGCTTCTGGACCCGATCCTTATCTCTGGCAATTGTGGGTGGTTATGAGCCTTGGCTGGGCACGAGCTCTCGGGAAGGGCTTCTTCCTGTCTTCTACTCGCCACAAACATTCCTTGATGGACTGTACACGTAATCGAGGGCGATCCGGGAGGAATTGGGTAGTGAAGTGCAAAGAAACAAAATGTTTCGAAGGTGGAGATTAAAAATGAAATTAGATAAAGGCCATCCCGAAAATCCCTCTAGCACCCCTTAATTAAACCAGATGGTTCCAGTCGCTTCGCGACTGTAACCATCTGGCCTTCGGGCTTCCCTTCATGCCATACACCATCACATCCATCCCTACCTTTCCAAAAATACCCCCGCTAATGGCTACAGATACCTCCCCCAGCCAAATCCTCTTCAAAAACTACCTAAATACATACCTTCCTGACGGCTTCAGATACCCCCCATGGCTGAAATCCCCTTCAAAAACTACCTAAATACATACCTTCCTGACGGCTTCAGATACCCCCCATGGCTGAAATCCCCTTCAAAAACTACCTAAATACATACCTTCCTGACGGCTTCAGATACCCCCCATGGCTGAAATCCCCTTCAAAAACTACCTAAATACATACCTTCCTGACGGCTTCAGATACCCCCCATGGCTGAAATCCCCTTCAAAAACTACCTAAATACCTTCCTGATGGCTTTAGATGATTTAAATAATTAATTAACATAATTAAAAAGTATTAAAAAGTATTAAAAAGTATTAAAGTAACTTAAAAAAGCTATCTGGGCGCGGGAAGGGGCCTGGGGAAGAGGGGCGAAGGGAAAGGGGGCGTGGCCTCCCGTTAGAGGGGCCCCCACTGGTTTTATTAAGGCGCCACTTTCAAAGTTAATTTTAATAATTTAAACTAAAACTTTTTCGTAATTTTTTTATCAGTTTGGGGGTTTCTGACGGCGCTCTATCCGAATCCGAAGAGAGCTAAGCTCTAGCTCCTTTCCCCTTCGAGTTGAATTCGGCTTCACACGGACGGACGGACGGACGGACAGAGACCACAGCAAAATTATTATAGTTGATTGATAGCTTGGATCGTGGTAATTTTTAGATCATTTTCGAATACGTTTCGAAATCCAAAACACTAGGGGTCTTAGTTTTCTGTGTATCATTAGCTGTAAATCCCGTGCTTTCCTGAAAACGTATTTTTTTCGGAAATCGGAAATTTGGGTTTCTCGTTAATGTGCCTTTTCCATGATTTTTGAGCGTAAAAAAAACGGAATCAAACTACAATATTTTGAAAAGGAAAAACCCTTTTTCCGCAATTTGGAAAGCTTCCGTTTGATACAAAAGCCTTAAAAATCGGATGATGTCATCCTGTATTTTTCAGAATTGTGAAAAGAAGCGACAAAGTGAGATCAAGGCGCTGAGCAACTTGTGTGTCGTCTATTTCAGATGCGGCCTTTTCTCATTATTTCTATAGCACCGCTACGTCATCACCAACAAGTCCCAAGACCCCAGAATTTCTAAATTCTTCCATCACATTGAAGTCTCCGCCACCAACCACTTTGCTGATTGGACGATCCCCGCATCGACATGATTTATTCCCGGCTTTGGCGGCTAATCCGCAGCTTATCCGCCGCGACACCCCAGGACCGCGAATGGCACTTTCCACAGATTCTTTCAGATCCGCCTCAGACTAACGGAAGGAATTATTAAATTTCTGAATACCGTTGATTGCTTTCAAAGCCTGGATGACCAGTTTTTTTTGCAGTAGTTATTTAGTAAAGGAATTATTCCGGATTTGACACTGGTTGTTTTTTGCAGATAAAAACTTTGAAAAGCTGATCCTCAGATTAGAATCTTGGTTATCTCTTTTATATGAATTTTTCAGCTCTCTTGATCGCTTTCAAAGCTTATAGAACTGTCTTCTTGTAAGTGGCTATTGAGAAAGAGCTATTCTGGTTTCTTCCATCGTATCCTTGTAGAAATTTTCCGGAAAAAAAACTGTATAACAGATCCGGGAAATAAACGCTCTATTACTTCCTTTTAATATAAAATAGCCTTGAAAGTTTGCGAGTTTCTGGTTGCCTCAAAGGCCGCACGTCAAGCCCAATATTCGGAACGTGCCATCCCAAGGGACTCCTCGGCCTCGCTTCCGCAGGCCATGTCAGAAGCCGAACGCCCCGCTTTCCCAAAAATTCCAAAACATTCCGATGTGCGTTAAGTCTTTTCTTTTTTAGACACATTATAGACAGTAAACTTTGCCCATGCTTGGATCCAATTTTAGGAACCAAATAAAGCTTTCCAGCGACACTTCGTGAAGTTTTTGGTTCGGAAACGCTCCTTCTTATTGCAGCCTTCCGAATAGTCCAAACCCTAGAATTACGCGCGTCCCGTTAATTACTCGTTACTTCCAGCTATCGTCCCCACAGGCAACCCCCCACTTGGCACCTAGATGAGATTTCCGGGTATAGCACCTTTGCAGGATTCCAATATTTTTTTACGGAATTGTAACGTACATTAATAGCTAATTCTTGGGGTTATATGTCGTCCTTGGTGCTTTTCTGCCTTATCAGCTCTTATTAATGCAAAAAATTGCGCATCTGTATGGTATTCAAATGTCACGCTTGACCTTATTATGCCTCTCACTCCGCACGGCATTTCGGGACAGCTTTTGTTTCCAGATATCACCAGAAGTTCTCGAGGTTAGCTTCTTGTCGTCTTAAAGTGATGAAGACGACCGAGCTGGAGGCGTACCGCTTCAATTTAGGTAAAGGGAGCCAGTTGGCATGAAGCCGATCCAGATTATGTATAACATGTATAATTGCTAGCCCTTTAAAAATCGGTTAAATTATGAAAGCGTACAAAAATCTTGAATTCTCAAAACGGTACTCCACTTCCGAAAACGAACATGTAATTTGCATTCCCCGCCCCTTCCCCTTCTCTCCCCCAGCCGTTCCCATAAACCCCCGTAGCTCCTCCCACATTGTTGTCCCTATTACGACATGTTATTTGAAGTGAAAGAGGGGCGCAAAAGGGGAGAGAGAGAGACAAGGGGAAAGGGGCTGGGTGCTGTGTCACTCCTCGGGGGCTGTTGGGTGTGGTGGGGCGGCTACGCGCGACTCCCCTGCACGCCGAGGTCCCGTTGACCCAGGGGACTGGCGGCGAGATAGTACGGAGACTTTGGAGAGTCCATACCTCCCACTGCTACACCCCTTCCATCCCAGCCCCGCGTCATATGATTATCCCCCCTTCCACCCCAATCGCCTCCCCTCTTTTCTCTTTTCCGCCCCGCTTCCATACACACAGACAGACACACACACCCCGACTGTGTTTACATTTGGTTGTTTTTCTTTCACCGCCCCGTTCTCTTCAGTCGCATATTCTCAATCAAAGAACGAAAACGACACAATAGGGAACAAAAGAAACCCGGCTTTTCAGGAACGGAAATGATTGATTGTGATGAAGCGGTGTACTTGGCGAGTTGTTCATTTTTCAGGTATGGTATATATTCATTGGATGTGCAATTTAAAGTTCAGGAAGGTTAAAAATGATTGGATAAAGTGGTGGGGGTAGAAAAATCAATAGTTGGGTGCGCCGAAGTTTCGCGTTAAAAGTTCCTCTCGCTACGCTAAAATTTTTAAGAAATAATATATAAAAATATAGCTTTTTAGAAGTATTATAAAACTAATAGACAATCGTGTTAGTATTTATAAACCCAGATTTATTTAGTTTATCAATTAAAAATGATACGTATCATTTTTGAGAGCGTACAAGGGGTAAAAACTTTTTTTTTGCAAAAAATTAGGTATATCTAAACCCAACCCCATTTCCGGGGCCGCATTTTATTGGGCAAGCCAAATACGAGCCGTGCCACTATCGCCTCGCTGCGTACAGGCCTGGGAATGGGCCGGCCCGGGCCGGCCCGGGCCGGCCCGGGCCGGCCCGCCAGTCCATTTTTCTCGGCCCGGCCCGGCCCGCAGCCAATTTTTCGGCCCGACATTTTGGGTACATTTTTACCAAACCAGTATATGCCATCATTTAATTTTTCCGGAGTTACAAAAACGTGTTAGATCAAGTCCGTTAATCGTCTATAGGCTTGTACAACCGATTTAGGTATAGTATGTGACGAGAATTTATTTATAAAGCAGCATACAACCAGTTACATCTTTAGTCCAATAGAAAAAGGTCTGTTTTACTTAGTGGAGTTCAATTTCTTTGACGCATACGTGTAGTTTGAACGAAAATACACTTAAATAAGGCTAACAAGGCATATTCCCAGCATTTCTGAACATTTCCGGCCAAAAAAGCAAAAAGCAAAAGACTGACCTCGGCCGGGATCGAACCCGGGTCGTTTTCCTGATAAATCAAAGTTAAGCCAAAACTCGGATTTTTTTATTTTTAGCTGTTTAAACAGATGATTTAAGTTGAATATCAATAAGGAAAACTTATAATGTAATTAAATTACCTCATTTAAACTCAATATAACTTATTGGCAAGGTGGCGGGCCGGGCCGGCCCGCCAGCCTAAAATCCCGAAAATCTCGGCCCTGGCCCGGCCCGCCAAATTCCCAGGCCTGACTGCGTATAAACACTTTCCGGGGCGGGGCCTGTTTTTGTGGCGGAAGCCTGTTGATCAATCACACACATGCTGCTCCAGCATCAAGGCCATCCGACACCTTCACTTTTCACGTCTTGGCGCGAACCCAACGCAGAAACAATCGCTGAATTTGCATATTACGCGTTGCTCCGCCCCCTCCGGGCTTCAGAGTTTCGAAACAGTTTCGTAATAAATCATCGCGCCCGTCAGCCTTTCGCGCATATTTTAAAAAATTATTTTTAAAGGTAAAATTGTTTTAAATAAATCCATAGAGATTTTGGTATCTAGATAACTATGAATATCCAAATTTTCCCACTGCCCTGATTTCCCAACCCTCTGACTAGCGGCGGGAACGGGCCTCCATTCAAATTTTGGACCACCCTCACCCTAACACCAGATCTTTTTCAGCGATTACTCCAGCCACCCGCAAAAAATCGATCCCCTCCCCGATCAGTCTTATGAAATGGATGAGGGGCCGAAAGAATATGTGAGTTTTTATATTTATTTTTGTAGTTATGGTTTTAGACAACGCTCACAGTTATGAAGCGTAGTACTCCTCCACACTCTGAGCCTTATGAGATTGGCGTAGAAAATCAAAGAACTCCTCCGGTTTCGCCGCTTAAAAGAAGGTAAAATTTTATTCTGTTACTTTTTTATTTTACTTTATATAAACGGTTTAATTTTGAGCAGTATCCCTTGAAACATATTACAACTTTACCTATTTTTTTTCAGCTACAACAACCTCGAACCTCAAGCGGACAAAGTCAGAAAAGACCACGATATCCAGGTTTGTATTTGCGTGTCATACACTAGTTTACTCTTCTCTATCAGGTCGTCAAGAAGCAGATTGTGAAATACACGGATCTGCCGCGCAGTTTCTTCGAAAACCCGGTCTACCAGCCGCTGCCCGGTGGGGGCTACGTCGAGATGTGGGTTTCTGTTTGCGTTTAAGACTGAGAAGCCTGGAACAGAGAACCAGAGGCTAGAGTTCAGTTTGGGGATTGTTTTATTGGACCGGAAATTAGAGAGTAATGGGTTGGTTTGAGCTAGGCTAGTAGTTAAACTTTTGCTTGGTTTGGGCTTGGGCATGGGCATACAGGCTTGAATTTGGAGGCTTCATCATCTTGTGAGGTTCATTACTATAATTTTTTAAACTAGGCTTAGGAGACTTAGGCTCAGGTTTGGGGCCTAGTCCTAGGCTTCGACTTCGGGTAAGGCTAGGCTTAGGCTTAGGCTTAGGCTTGATTCGCATAAGACATCGTCGTATCATAAATTTCGGTTCCGGTTTTAGGTTAAAGTCAAAAATTTTTTCTAAAATTAAATATTCTCACTTTTTAGTTGCGTCGAAAGCAAAAAAGTACACCCCCGCATCGCGGCCATCAAACGATCTCCCGTCTAACCAACTAGAAACCATTCCCTGGTGCCATAGAATTTTTTGCTACATCCTTTACGGTCTCCCCCCTTATCTCTGCATTTAGTCAGTATTTCCCATGTTTTCTGTTTGCTTTTTTCGGCGTTTATCCCCCACGATAGATCTTAATTTCTGTTTTGCCCCACGGGTGCCTTCCCCAAAAAGATTGTGATCTCCGGGTTTTTTCCCCCAAATTATGATGTCATGTTTTCTGCATAAAGTTTATCAATTTGAAAAGAAAAAAAACTTGAGCAAATCGGAAATGATAACAAGAATAAAAAACACAAAAAATGGTTGTGGCCGAATGAATTTTTGACGAGGTGAGACCACTCGGAATTAGTACAGAAATGTAGGAAAAATGGCAGTTTTGATTTAAAAAAAATTAAAAAACAATTCTTAAGGCTAGAAAAAAAGATAAAACTTTATACATCAGTATTGCGGGGCTCCTTTTTGCCGGAAAGTATGACGGTAGTTGTGCGTTTTGGTGTAAACTCGAGGCTCTCCTCCTCCTCCTCTTCCTAAATCAAAATAGGATTTGTAGTTTGAAACGGACTTCAGGTCCCAATCCCAGGAGCCGGGGGAGGGCCACAAAAAACGTGGGGGGCTCATTTTCGCCAAAATGGTTTTTTCTAAAATGAAATGCCTTTTGAGAAAGCGTTCCACAACACACTACAATTACAAAACGACGGCAGCGAAAAATTCTGGTACCTCACTGCCGGATGTTTTGGCATAGATTCTTTCGGCTCGTTGGGGACCAGAATCGGTGATATGTTCGACGGGGACTTCAACGACAGTTTCCGGCTCGCTGTGGGACTTCAATTGCGTTTAACGATTTTTATAAAATTCCTTAAACCTGGCTACTAGTACCACGAGATGAAGAGGGTCGATCATTATGGGGGTGGAGATGAATGTCCATTTTTCGGGTGGGCTGGGCGGGCTAAATGATTTTTAGATTTTTTTTTTGCTTAAGGACTCTCATACCCTGGGAGGTGGGGCCGAAACATCGCCATGGTATACAGTAGTTGAGGGGGTTTCTTGTCCCGAGAAATCTTGTACCACAACGTAATTAACAGATTTAAAATCCTCTTTGTATTTTTCGAGCGCGTATGCCTAAAGAGATGAAATTTTCGGATTCTATGCAGCAAAGCTTACCCTCAACATAGCTTCATCTGTCTGGCAAATTGCATTCTTGAACTTCATCCTGTTCTCGCTGTGTTTCTAAATACAAAAAAAAAAATTTTACGGTATTTTGTAAAATATGTACCGCCAAGCGTTTCTTCTCCTTTTCCGGCATAATGTTATACAAAAGTCGTGACTTCAACGGCATTTTTGCCAATACAACATCAAGAGAACGAGGATCCGGAGGAGCTGAAACACAGTATATATGTCTTTAAAATCAATAAAAGCTTACGAGCTTCACGATGTTCATCGTCAACTCCTTGAGCCTCAAGATCCTCATTAGCTACAGGTTTTGTAGGAGGAATCTCTCCCTCATCCTCCGCTTCCGCCAATGCTTTTGTGTATTCTTCGTCGATGTTGTCTTGCATTCCCTGAAAAGCGATGCCTGAAATCAATATACAAAGAATCCTTACTGTAGCCAGGGCCTCAATTTGTTGCTGAATAATCTGAAGTACGGTGGAGACGATCGACAGTCCGATCAGCATCAGCACACCAACGATCAACATGTAATCGTACTTTTCCGGAAGTACATCACCAAATCCAATGGTTAGGAAGGAGATCAGGGTGAAGTAAAGAGCAGTTCCTAAAAATTTGTATATTTAAAGTTTCTGGAAAATACCGTAAGTCCAGTCATCTCGTCCAAGAGGTAGGAAAATTGCTGCACAAAGCAGAATCCAAGCAATCGTCAAAAGAATCAAAAACCATAAAGGGAAAGAGAGAAGATCATCGTCATCTTCACCCTTCTTCACTTTTGCCTCTGGCCCGAGGTCTTCCATCTAAAATAGATTTTTTCACGAGTTTTTCTCGATTTCCTAAATGGATGCATCTGCATATCCTTGACGTAATTCATGCAAACTACCAATTACCTCTACTTTCTTTATGGTATATTTTGCTATTAGCTAGATAATTAAAAAATTAAACCTTTTTGAGGCTAACCTACCTTCTTTTCCAGGTCCTTTGAGACAACGCGGCTAGATTTGGTAATTCCACCCCAAAGAACCTAAAATTTCGATATTTTCTGGTTTAAAATTTAGTATCGTTCCGGAATTAAACATAATTAAATTCCGCACCTTGCAAAATTTTGCAAAAAGCGATCCAAGCCCGAGCAAACAGATAATGCCGATCGGGATCCCGATAAAAGCGTAAATTACAGTCAGCACCCTTCCGGCACCAGTGACCGGAACGATGTCACCATAACCTGAAAGTATATAATTTTTAATGTCTGATTAAATCTGCATACCAATTGTGGTATAAACGGTCATCGAGTAAAAGAGGGCGCCGACGAACGTCCATTTGTGGTTGGTTACCTCGACCTAGTATGGAGGAATAATGATATTTCTTTCGAAGTTCCGCCTACCTCTTTCACTCCCAAATCACGGGTGTAGTTTTCGAGTGAAGTTAAGGTATGATCGTAGGCAACACGTGGAGTCATGGCACGGATATTGTTGAGCTTGAAGGCGGTTTTCTAAAGACATTTTTGACAGAGGTTTCACAAGCAGAAAAAGTTATATAGATTTTCTCTGTCATCGATTTAATAATAAAATCTATTTCTTTGTTTGATTAAGCGATTAGAACCCGAGTAAGTAGAAAATTCTGCACGTGGCGGCAAAATGATCCTCCTAATTTCAATGCAAATTAAATTTTCTGGATTTTCTAAAACTTTCGCTCACCTCCATCAACTCCTCACGATCTTTCTTCAAATTCTCCATCTCATTCAACTCATTTGGAGCTTCCAGGGTCATAAAAAGAACGGCTCCAACCAGCGTATAAAGCGCCAGTATGAATACGGGTAGTAGGGAGCGGAACCCCTCTCGGAAGGTCCCTATTAATGATCGCACCCATTCGGCGATCATGTCGAGGGTTCCCTGAAAAATCATATATTGCAATTAATAGTTTTAAGCCAGAATGCCGAAATTTAAGATGCCGCTGCAGAAATGTCGACAGTTAAGTTGACAAAAAATATAAATGCCGACATGAAAAATACCGCTGGCGGAAATGCCAATAATTAAGATGTCGAAAAGGCAAAATGCCGACATTTTAGGTATCGAAAGTCAAAATGCCGACATTGAAAATGCCGACAATAACAGGGTCGACGTTCGAAATGCCGACAGTTAAAACGTCGAAAACCCAAAAAACCCACATTCGAAACGTCAACGGCAAAAATGCCGGCATTAGAAATGCCGACATTCAAAATGCCAAGAAGGTCAAAATACCGACAACCAAAATGATTATGGCGAAAATGCCGACAGTCAGGATGTCGAAAAGGCGAAATCCCGACATCCAAACGGCTAGATATATGCAAAAACACTTAAATTCCAGGCCTGGGCGCCGACATTTTGTGTCTCGGCATTTGGGCGATCAGCATTTCGCGTGTCGGCATTTTGTTCATGAGTATTCTGATGTCGGCATTTTGCCCCCCCCCCCCCCTTAACTACTAAACAAAACTAGAAAACTACCAACAAGAATATATACAAAAAGCAACATTAGCAATTCCCGGCGAACAAAAGAGGGGGAATCCGATCCCATTGAATAAATGGGCCATTGGAATAGGAGCCGGAACATGGGATTGCGTGATGGGGCTCTTTCTCCTCTTTGGTTTGGGCCTCCTCCTCCTTTCTCCGGGGTCACCCATCCCCCCTTCAAGGAGATCGACCGTCGTGCAGCTCGAGCTCCCCTGGGTCCCCTATGTCACCAACTACCACCCTCCACCAACCTCCCTCTCTCAACACGGGCCAACCACACACAAAACAAGACAACATGTCGTTATATGCATATGGACGGGATGGTAATGCTATAGTTGGAGGGCATAAAATTGAAGGTATCGTTGAAAGGGACAGTGAAGTGAAAATTGGAGCTTCGAAGCTAACGATAAAATTCAAATAAGGCTTCGTCATTCCTTCAAAAATTTCTAAATTACTACGGTAAACTAGAGGCTAAGTCGAATTTAAAAAAATATGATTGAAAGGGAAAGTTATGTGAAAATGCAATGGAAAAATTTTGCTATTAAAAGCGCTTTCTTATTTTATTGCCATTGGAGCATTAGAAACAAATCGAAAAGCTCTATTAAATTCCAAAGGTAAAATTGCAAAAATTAGTTTAGTAAAAAGAGGTTATAGGGTTTATGGTATGAGTTTAAAGGCATAGTGAAGTCAAAATCGAGCTAAATTCTTAGCGTATATAATTTCATCAAAACACTAAAAATTTGAGATCTAGATGGTACGCTACTAAACGCGGCCTTGGGGCTTCCATCGCGATCTTAAAGTAATTGTAGCGTAAAAAAACGTACTCTAGGAATAGACAGTAAAAAATATCAAAATCAGCATAAATTTTTCAAAATGAGGTAAACATCGTATATTATTCCTGGAGAATTGTATTTAAGTTTGGGATTAAAATGCCTAGCATAAAAAAATAGCCATCATGGCTGCAAATACCATTTTTAACCGATTCTGCACGAAAAGCTCAATTTTTTGAATCGGATACAAAATTACCACTAAATATTACTAAACTCCAAAAAACCAGAACAATCAAGCCATAAACAACTCATAAATCAACACAGATATATCAAAATCCGTCATCCATCCAAACGACCAACCCTCCCAAAACCCATCGGGCCATTTCAAGACCCGCCCGTGCCTCCAGGGCCCGAAAAATGGGTACGGGAATGTGGAAAAAGCTGTTGAATAATTGGGGGTGGGGCGGATATAGGGAGGGGGTGTAATGCCCCCTGGGGGCAACAGGGTTCTCCTCCTCTGGGTTGAGCAGGAGTCAGTTGCCCCGGTGGCCCATCTCAACCTTTGGGGTCTCCTCCTCAAAGACCCCTGCCCTGAGATCCCTGGTCTGGGAGCAGAAAAAACCGCTGCTGTGCCCCCCCAGGGTCAAGCTAGACTGGCTTCTTCTTTTGTTGCTCCTTTTTCTGTTGCTCCTTTTTGCTGGTCCTCCCTCTTTTTGAGAGTTTCTTTTGACACCTCCCCATCATAGGACCCATCAATTCGGGGTGGGAGACACGGCAATTGGCCCTGTGTCTTGGCTGGGCATGAAATTTGGGGCTGTGGATTGTCGCGATGGAGATTGGGTAGACGGTTGTTTCGATGATAAAAAGTTGTTTTAGAGGCATGCTCATATATTGGTACAGAGAGAAAGAGAGAGTGCACACTTCCAACTTCTTGAATTCGCACTTTAAAGGGACAAGCAAGAGACAAGCGGATTTTGCGCGCGTCACTTGAGCGAAGCGTGCGCGTCGCGTATCGCGGCCAGCGAAAAAGAGTCATTGTGCACCTTCAGAACCTTTAGAACCGTTTTAATCATCTAAGCTAACTTCCGGTGTGTCATAATCCCTAAAAGCCGCTTCCCGCCACCCCAACTTGCACTCCTGCTCACTTGCACTTGCTCCATTAAATTGAAATCCCACCGTCTCCATCTCACCGCCCCGTTCCCTATTCCACTATCAATCCACCACCACCCGTCCTTCACATTACACCCCTACCCATCCCCCCAAAAAAGTCCAGGGTGTGGTGAAAAGAGAACACCCGGTGAACAAACATCAAACCCCGGAGCCACCGGTCAGAAAAGCCACATAAAAACACGTACAAACGCACCTGAAAAACCGGACGATTCCAGCTGAAGCCACCGTAAATTAGAGGACGCGATCTTTGGCGCGTGAAGAACATTCTGAATTAATGGTTATTTTGCATATAAATATGAATTAAAATAGCCAGGAAATTTTATGTCCGCTCATTTGCGGATTTTCGGATTTTCTCTAGCTTTTTCGCCTTTTTTGCCTGCTAATTAGGAGTCACAGAGGTAAAAATCTAAATCACACACAAAAAAACCAAATTTAGGTTACACCATCGAATTTCGCACGTTTTTAACTAACATTAAACCATTAACTTTTTAAAACATAAGGGAATTAATGTTATAATAAAAATCATTTTTAAAAAACGGTTAGATTAAAAAGTCGAACTTGACATTAACATGCATAAAAACGGCAAAACCGTTTTTGCCGATTCTAGTTTTCCGAATTTGCTTAGGAATGCTAATTAGGGTTCGGAAATAAGCGTAAAAACTCAATTACGAAGTTTAAGCTATTTAAATCAATTAAAAATAAAATATTTCAATTTTGCCTGATTTTTGAAAGATAGTTTAGCGATTTCAAAACCGCTTACAAACGACATCGTCAAATATTGGTCCTATTTTAGACATATAGTATCTATATAGTTTAGACATTGGCAAAAACTGGGAAAAAAAGTCCACTGGAATGACGTACTATTAGCGTTAGTTGAATAAAAATTATTCAAATACAATATGAAAAACAAAAGGCGTTGGTATCAAGAAACGAGAAAATGAACAAAAACCACAAAATTTTAATTATTCAAAGAAGAAAATTTTTAGTCCAGACGTGCATGTCAAAAACACACATCCCAGAAGAACAACCAGTTTGAAAAATAAGCCCAAACCAAGTTTGGCCCCAGAGCGAAGGCCACCCCAATTTAGAAAAGAAGACGCCACTGCCAGGCGTTGAGCCGTCTGATGAGGAAGGAACGGCTTCTGCTCCTCCACAGCCTCAGCCTCCCTCTACTCGGACTCCTTCGTGAGAATCGGCCACCAACCCCCGGGAGTGCCAACAGGAAGGGCCCGGCTTCTGGATGCCCCCAGCATCACAATCCTCACACCAAACCCCCGGATTGAATTTCCACACACATCTTCACTTCTGATTGTCCGCCTTCCACCCTCACATCCCCCACTCTAGCCATAGCACTTTAACTCTATTTCCGGTCTTCCAAAGTCCAGATGGTGAGGGTGGAAGGAGCAAGAGCGTAATAAAAGTATATAAACATTAAGTCATTAAAAACACTTACTTATCTGGAGACATTGTGATTTTAACGCGTAGTAAGCTTTTCCTTTAGCTAGAAAATTCTGTAAGACGCTGACATCTACGAACCACCGCCAGCAGAAATTTTCGGCCCCATTTGACCGGATGCATAGGCGAGTGGCGGGGGGGGGGCATCTGGAAGCCATTCCTCCGACAAATATCATTGCTATATAGCCGGGTCGTTGGGTTTTTGGGGATATCTGGGTTTTTATGATATTACCGGCTTAAACTTACCGTTATATGCAAATTTATGGCAGCAAAGATTCAACTTTATGTTTCTATCAGCCTATCTCTCTCTCGCTCTCTCTCTCGCGCGCTCTCTCTCGCTCTCTCACTATGTCGCTTTCCCTCGCTGTCGGTCTCTCTTTTCTCTCTCTCTCTCTCTCTCTCTCTCTCTCTCTCTCTTTCTCTCTATCGCTCTCTCCCACTCTCTCTCGCTCTCTCGCTCTTTCTCTCTCTCTCTCTCACTTTCGCATTATTTCTTGCTTTGCTTAATTCATATTTTTTCTGATAATTTCTCAGACGACGAAGTCGAAAAACACGAATAAACGCCTTTAAACGTGAATTCCAATACGGAAATTCGATAACTTTTCTAAAGTTTATCTTTTCCAACAGTCCACCGACGTCACAAAGATCAAATTCCTAAATGAACAGCCTAAAACGCGATCCGTACTTACCCCTTTTTTGCACCCCACCCGTCCGACCCAAATTCATCTCCAATCACATGGATTCCTGAAAAACCTGTTTTCGCTCCCTATTACACTGAGCAAACTATGGCCCAGGTCACGTTTGGGCGTCCTAAAATGACAGTCAAGTAATTTGAAGGTGTTTCGAGGTCATCATTGACGTCAATGAGTGCTGTATCTCTCTCTCTCTCTCTCTCTCACTAGAAGCGATTTCAGTTTTTTTTGCGGAGATCATCAAAAGAGGGGATGTTCTTGTTTGGATCGGAGGGGCGGTCCCGGCCTGGCTGGAATGTCGCGTAGAAATTGAACGGATAGGGCCGGGGACCGAGTCGAGACTGATCCAACTTCGGCTACACCCAGATACACCCTGATCTTCACTTCGCTAGCTCACTCGCTACTCTCTAGAAAGTTGTTATGAGCCGATTTTTGTTGTTACTATTATTTGTTTTTATCACGATTTGTGAGGGTAGGTATTACACTAATTTTTAATAACTTTGGCATACTTTCAGCCTGGCATAAAGAATGGCATACACGTGGAAACCAAGTCGTCAACCCGGAAAGTAACGTACACGTCGAGCGGCATTCCGGCAGTAACGGCAACTCGCATTGGTGGACCAGCTTCTTCTCATGGGGATAAAAGTACAAAATTTACGTTATGGACTTTTTTAAAGTATGTACAGTTGTAAATAAAAATTTTATATGAAAATCTATGGAACTAACGGCCAAAATCACAATTCCGCTCTTTCACAGCCACGCTATAGTGGTGATAAATTGCTCCAGATCTTTCAACCCTAAAGATCACCCATTACGCATTGCCCATCTCGAATCAACCCTTAATCGTCTCCTCAAATTCCGGCCCGCCAGATAAAAACGTCTGGAGAAGCCGCGCGACGTATTCACGCCTTTGACCTCCAATTCAAATAGAGCGTTGTTTGGCCACGAGGGGCTGGGGTATGAATGTCCAGCGCTTGAATTCCGTATCAAAACGGTTGAGCCTGAACTATTCGACACCTCAAAATTGTCATTTTCCCATATCCGGGTACTATAGTCAGCCTATCATTAGCGCACGCTGCTCTTAAACAAAAATAATTGTCGATGGACATAGTTGAAAACGGGTTGAACGTGATGAACTTGAAGTCGACGTCAAAATGCCCACATTATCCATGCTCTTAATGCATACCATTAATGGAGTTAATAAATTTCAGATTAGGTAACGTAATTTTGTAATTCCGCGTGCAATGCCTAATTTGGTATCAAAATACAGAGATTTTAAGCGCTCAAAAGCTTAAAAACTTTTATTTTCTTTAACATGATATTCTAGTAATTCGTGCTACTAAATTTTAGGCATAAATTAGTTATAATAATTTCCGAAAAGGTTGAGCTTTTGGCATTTGGACTCCGCGGAATACAGTATGCCGGGATTTTGGAGTATCATAGACCCCAAAAAATGCCAGTTTCCGTTGTTTGGTCATTAATATGGGTATTCGATAGTAACTCACATTAATGGGTTTACTTTTTTTTGATACTGATTTATTAAACGAATTTCAAACGGATTGGAAGTTTGATTATTGATTTCCGTATCAAAATTTGAAGGCTTCTATACCTAAAAAGTGATATTTACCATAGCATCTTACATTAGTAATCTTCCATTAATGCACCTTACTAATTTCCCAATCGAATCAATATCCCAATAGCCCAAAAATATCCAATCATCCCACATAATGATGACGGTTCCTCCGAAGCAAGACTATATCATAAGCTTTGAGGGATTACTTGTGGAACGGCTTATCTCCACACCCCAATAGGGTCCATTTGGGATCGCCATCCGGTCTTATCAAAAAAAAGCATAATGCCAAAAGGAGAAGCCCCCTCCCCTTCGGCTCCTGTGGTCGTGCCCATTCCGTTCTTTGTCTCCTGCCACTCGCATTGCCTTCTGATATTTTCGGATTTTTAGTGATTCACTGTGGAATTTTAACTTGATCGAAAATTCTGATTGCTATTTCGAGCTTTTATTTAGTATGAGCTACCGTAATTGGGCGATTCTGATGAAGGGCTCAGGATATAAAAGCTAGAAAAATTCGTGGATCACAAAATACAATGATGATTTCACAGAAGCCCGGGGCGCTATCTTTGCAGCGGTTGGGAGGAAGGGGTCTTTATGATCGCTGCACTCTTTTTGAGCTCAATTAGGTTTAGCGGCTTGTGGGTTTCGGCTGTTTTTAGTATGGTTTTGTATACTATAGCGTATATCTTAATTTTTAAGAAGGCATAAATACTTATTCTTAGGTTTGTTTACCATCTCATCCAAGTATTTGGCTAGAAAAGTAAGGTCGTGGGTTAAAGGGACCGTGAAGACAATTTAATTTTTTTGGAAGCTGCGGTGCGCGGCGCGCAAGATACGAGCGAGCCTGCGCGTGGCGTATGGCTTTAAACGAGACAGTTTTAGCTTGTTACCTAGCTGATTACTTCATGCTTTTTCCGAATTCTTAACGCTTCATTGCGTAATGGGTTGTTACCAGTTTTCTGGCGCAAAACGGGGCGTACGCGTTGCGTGTCGCGGTCGCATGATATCCATCTGCCTTGTTTGTCCACTTAAGATTGTTTAAAATATGTTTAAGGTGGTTCTAGGTTGCGTGCCGCGGTTTTCCCAAATCCATAAGCCTTCCTCGTGCCTTTAAAAGGATACTTTTCACTGAAACTCAGTATAGTTAAGGCCGCAAGCTCTTTTGCAAGTTATATTCAAACTAGTTTCACAGAAATACATTAAATACGCCACCCTCAAAACAGTAGCGCTCCCCCTAACAACCCCCGGAGGCCAAAATTCATCAGCCGGAAGGTGGTGTACAAACAGTAGTCACCCGTTCCCTCCTCCCCCCTCCCGAACCAGCCAACACATATTTGCATCCACACCAAAATCGACTTGTTGGCCGCATCTTGGTCACTCCCTACAGCTCCATGTGATCATTCCCATTGTCCTGCTCCCAACACCCCCCAAAAATTAGCCTGTTTAAGACCTGATAGCGTTGATTTACGGTCCCGGCCAGCCCTGTCGATATTTAGGCTAGTCTGAAGGAGCTTATCAATTTTTGGGGTTGAAGCCTGGCTACCTGGGTTTTGAAAGTTATATTGGGAGATCAGGCAAGTGTTGGTTTAGGTGAACTTTGGGGGGATGGGCTGATTAAAAGGGGGTTTTCGGTCATTTTGAACTCTTTTTGGCTCAGATTTGAATTTTCTTTCTTATGTATGATTTGAAAAATAATAAATAATATCTATGGATAAGGTTTATATATAATTATATTTTGTATTAAATTCGTATCCTAATTGTTGTATGTTTTTGTTGCTCGATTCAGGTTATTTTTTAGGTCGGTGAAGCGGCGCTCCGGCTCCTTGGGTCCCAGCAATGAGGTATTTATTAAAAATTAGCAGAATATAGAACGCTAGCTTTTTTCAAAACCTTTAGAAACGATTTTTGCGTATTTTTCACTTTACAGTAGCTTTATATACTTTCAAGGGCGCATAAATGCCGTTTTTAATTAACTTCCGGCGCGTTTTAACTTGTATTTTTTAGTTTTTAATTCCTCCAATTTTTCGGGCGTTTAATCCCCCCTATTTGCAAACCTCCACCGCATAGCCCTAGGCTCGTGGCACTGATTTGAGCAGCGGCAAGAAGCTGAAGGTTTTTCTCCACGGAAAAAATTCCGGAGTCGCGTCAGTTTTGAGGGGGGTGGGTGATAAGGCCCCAAAAGGACTACCAGATTTGGAAGTGGCGGTGGCAGGCGAGAACCTCTTCAGGTTTATGGGGCAGACTATCAAAGTTTATAGGAGAGCAAAAAATTGATCTTGGTGCTGAACACCGTGCGGTTTTGAGGGGGAGAAAGAGACGAATTATGGATAAAAATCGATAATAAATGAACTTTTTAGTTTCGTATATCCCACTTCCACGAAAGGAAGCTTGGCGGGAAGCTTTTCGCACCCGACCGGCGAGCATGTAAATAGTCATGGACATCTTGGATGGTTCGTTACTGGACTGTTCGTCGTCGGTGATTTGGCCGGCGGCGGTCTTGTCGCGTTGCCGACAGCTATGATTCAATCTGGTAAGTGCTAAGGATATACCTTTAATTTTAAATGCGCTTAGACATGTCAAATATAGCTATAATATAGCTTAACAGCTTTTAAGTACGTAAAAATACACTTAATTTCAAAATTAAGAGCAAAAGATAGCTTTAATTTTTAGGTTTCTGGGGTGGTCTCGTCATCACAACAATTATGACCCTTGTCGTTACCTATACAGCCTACGTCTTGGGATTATCATGGAATATCCTTTTAGAAAGGTGGAAATTACCGGTTACTTAATATATAAATACAATTTATGATGTTTCTATAAGGTATTTAAAATTATTGAAATGTTGTTTTAGATGGCCCGAATACCATTCCCATTGCCGAAAGCCCTATCCCGAGATTGGATACCGAGCCCTGGGTGTACATATGAGGCGTTTTGTATCAATTTGCATTGACGTCACGCAGTTCGGAATCTCCGTTGTGTACTTGTTGCTGTCGTCGAAGAATATTCATGACTTTTTGAAGGTACTATCCTTAAAAAATTACATAGTTTTCGTATTTCTAGGCCTTCTTCAAATCCGACCTGTCTTTCTGCATTGTCGTCCTGTGCCTGGCCGTTTGCCTGCTTCCAATTACCTTCTTGAAGTCGCCGAACGATTTCTGGTAAGTAAAGTTTACAGATTTATTTAGTAAAATTTTCTTTATATAAGCTAAATACTATTTTTAGGTGGGCTGTGGTTATTGCGATGATGACAACCTCAATCGCTGTCATTCTAATCCTTGTTGGATCAGTTCTGGATTATGACAAGTGCCATAGTGAAAAGTAAGGACACCTTATAAAATGTAATTTATCGTAAACCGCGTAGTATTTGTTATTATTCATATTAAAATTTAATATTTTAGAGCCATGCCAGATTTCCATGTGACCAACTACTTCCTGGCCCTCGGCACGTTTTTGTTTGCGTATGGTGGACACTCGGCTTTCCCTACTATCCAGGTAATTAAATTCAATGGAAAAAAAACTAAATATAAATTAAAATAACAAAAAATCGTTTATTTTCAATTTGATTTTATTAAGCAAGGAATTTATCATTTTAGCACGACATGCGTAGACCCCAGGAATTCACCAAGTCCGTCATCTTGGCCTTCACGAGTACGTTTTGATACCATAAACCATTAAACTTGACTAAATGATTCAAAGAGTCCGTTTTGTACTCAAACTCGTCAAAAAATTAAGTTAAATTCTAGTTATGGCCATTATGTACTTCCCTGTCTGCATCATGGGATACCTGACCTACGGTAACTCCGTCCGTGACTCCATCATTAACTCCATCCAGGTAAGGCTTATATAATTTTCATCTTTTTTTCTGCTTTAGATCACCGGCATCCAACAAGCCATCAACATTTTGATCACCATCCATTGTATCCTTACCCTAACAATCGTCTTCAACCCGCTTATGCAGGAAGCTGAGGAGCTGTTCAGGGTTAAGCAACGTAGGACTATCGATTTAAATAGTAAAATTATATGTTATTTTAGACTTCGGAATCGGACGTGTTATTGTCAGAACCTCGATTATGATCGCTGTAGTAATCGTTGCTGAAACTATCCCAACTTTTGGACCTCTGCTCGATCTTGTCGGTACTGTAACAACATCTATATATTTTTAATCTACTTTTCAGGTGGTTCTACTCTGACATTAACATCTATCGTATTCCCGTGCGTCTTCTATCTATGGCTTGCCGCCGGAAAACGAAAAGCAGAAGTCGAAAAGGGTTGTGATGATGGGCCTGTCTCATTCAGGGAGTATGTTCCCGAAATTGGCATATAAAACTCGATTTAGGATGGTTAAGTACACGCCCAGGGCCACACTCTACACTTGTTTATTCATTATTGGTATGATTTATGCCCATTACTGAATTAAAGAAACCGTTTAGTGTTCGGATTGATCGGCGGCTGCGCGGCCACATACTCGGCCATTAAGGAGTTGACGTCATCTAGTGTATTCACGACACCATGCTATGCACGAGGACGAGGATTTATTCATGCTGTAAGTGTAAAAATATGCAAATTTACATAGTCTAAAACTTTAATAAAATTTCGTTTTAGGATGTAAGTTTGCGGTTTTTGGTAAGAGTGCATGTATCTAATTTAGCACTTAACAAAACACTAACTGATCTACGAATTTTGCACTAAAAATCTGCATTAACATACTGAATGACTCTAACGTGGTTAAATATGACTGAAAAGATTAATACGGATTTTAAGACGGCGGAAAATTTAGTTAATTCACTAATTAACAACAATTAACTTCTCAATAAAATTTTACGTTAAAAAGCTTAAATTAGCATGCTAAATATTAACTTAATTTAAATATATTTAAATAAAAGCAACGAAATTTATGTAATCTTTTAGGACGGAGAAGATGCGGCCCATACCAATTGCTGTGGACACTGTCAGAATATCGCCACAAGGAGGTTAGGAATTCAAATTTTATGCTAATTTTTGACTATTTAAATCAGTATCCCTCCATTTCAGATTAATTTCCCTTAACCTAATTTGCACAAAATCTTAAATTTAGTGGCGTAACCTGTGCCCAGCCAGCCCTCGACTTCTACCACGACGAGGCATCCAAGTACAGTGTCTGTTCTGCTGTAAATATGACCACCCAAATTATCGGCTCCACCTTGTCCTCTGCACTCCCAAATCTGTTTAATGGTTTCAACTATTAAATGTGTAATTTGAATCTACAATTTTTGTGTGCAATTTGAATGTGCAATTTGGATGCTCAACCTGAATATGGCCTTTTCTCCGTGTAAAAATTGGTTTATTGAATAAAATAAAAACATTTTAAAAACACCAGCACTCATAATGATTCTGTTAAAAAGAATGTTGGTATTATGTCGCTAGTTTTGTAGATGACTAGTTTATTAAATGGCTCGCTGTGGGTTTGAGATCCAAAAATAAATAGGATAAAAAAGTAGATGAGCAAGAATGGGCGAGTCGGGGCACTTGGCAAGAGGGTCATGGAAATGTCAGTTAACGAGAAAATTCAGAACATAGATAAAGTTAAATAAATTACAACAATTTGCTTCTAACTCGGAATAAATTATTCGCAATTTCGGGGGTTAATCTTTGGTGGATCCAGGGGCATGGGACGATGAAATTTAGGCCCCACCAGGGTCCAAAAACGAGTCGCATACGTTCCCCTAGAAAAAAGACGTTAGAAAAACTATATATAATTTAGTAGATCAGCTCAAGTACAACAAAAGTAATAAAACCCTACCTATCGTTCGGCCATCACCTTCAAATTCTTCACGAATCCCCAGCGAATGATATTCGTACATCGTATACCCATGGCAAGTATAGAAAATCTGAATTAACATCATTTGAATAATTATATATAAGTAATATTAATATATATCGATTAATGATATATTATTCTACCTGAATAGCAAAAAATGCCATCGACGCAATACAACTAGCAGCTCCAAACGAAAAAGCCACGCATATCGCCGCATTTACCAGCAGCTCCTTCCCGAGAATCCATTTCACAACAGCTACAGGTGCCAAGAAATGCACCCAGCCAAATGGATACCTAGAAAATATACTTTAAAATACTCAAAGCTCAATTACCATGGCTGTACAGCATGATCAAGATATGACAAGATATATGATGAACATAACGCCGCGCCTATCATCGCCCAGAAGTTGAACACGATAAAATAACGCTGAAAAATTGGCATATTTGGTTAAGGTACCATTTTACCTGATTCCCCAGCCCCACGCAAGCACCCGTGATGAAGCAATGGTGGTCCTTTCTTAAAACACATATATGGCACATGTAGCAGTGATGGCTCCGGATCGGGGCCCGGCTAGAGTTGTGAATGGTCTAATTTTTGTGTTAAATTCCTTACCGATTACAATCGACGCAGAATTTGGCATCTGGAGTATTGGAGCCTTGTTCATCTCCAGCGTAACGCACGAAATCTTCGATCTAAATTAACATAAAAATGTAAATTTTAGCTGTAACCTCATCATTATGACGGCAGAGGTCGGCTACGCAAGAAACTCGCTGCCAGAAAGAGACGCAGTTATGTCTAAAGTAAAAATTAGCATAAAATTATTTATTTTCTGGACTTACTTTGAATATTGGTGAAAGAAGTAAAGGTTTATTGAAATTTCGAATAGGATAAACCATAGCCAATATTCCAAGTTATCGCATTTTTCGGCGGTTTGAGTTGCTGGGCAGGCGACGAAGGAGGTTAGATAGTAGAGGATTGATGCTAAAATATATAATAAAATTATGCGCATTTAAAGGCATGTTAATTCTTGATTTTACACGATTTTTCATACAAAAAAAATCCGAAAAATATCAAAAGTATGACCAACCTGTAACACAACAAAAGCCAACACCTCCATAATCCAGCGCCACCTGTGCAGCCGGAGATAATCTCCTCTGTAGTGTCCCAATAGCCATCGACTTCTAGAGGTGGGCCGCCACCCAACGTCCTTTATTCGATATTGGCCACCCCCCCACTTGCTCCCCCTTACTAAGACCCCCCACTCTACCCCTACCCTCACTCTCTACTACTACTCTGCGTCTCTGCCAAACACTGACACCCCTCGAATTCTGTTGACCTCCCCCAATACATCTCCCAACGCGCCGCTTTAAATATTCATTGGGAAGCAAGAGGAAGCAAGAATATGAGAAGCCCTTGAAATGAGGCTTAGGAAATGTCAGTTTTAAAAAGATGATCTCCAAGATATCAATAAGCCAAAAAACTGTAATAAAATTAGGGACTTTTTTCAATAATAGTATAGATCAAGTACAAGATATCGAAACGATAAGCAAAAAAAAATCATGTTTAAAATATTAACAATGATACATTCTTGACGAGATGACGTGGTTTGACACGTGACAGCGAATATAAGGCTTTTACTTTAATTAATAAGCAAAGATTCATATCTGATTCCTAATGCCGAAACTGGTAAGAACAAAAAATACCGACAGCCGCCGACAGAGCTGCCGCAAGCCCAAATGCCGACAGCCCAAAGGGTCGTCAAGCCCGCAGGACGACAAGTAAAAATATCGACACCCGAATGCCTAAACTACGTCTCTCTCTCAATTGCTTGGTTTCGGTTAGTGTCGGTATTTCGGATGTCGGTATTTTTGCGGTCGTCAGCTTATCCGCTTTCGAAATTATTTCTTTCGGCGTCCCGGATATCGACATTTTACCGTCGGCATTTTGTTCGTCCTCGACATGTCGGTGTTTTTAAGCTATCGGCACTTTCGGATGTCGACCAATTGGATGTCGGCATTTCGAGTTCCCGGATTCTGGAAAGGGCGTCCGGATGTCGGCATTTCGACTGTCGGTCGTTTTGCGCCAATGGGCATATCTGCTGTCGGGGTTTTTAGCTTTCAGCATCGCCGGCATATTGGGCGCCGCCTTTTTGAATTCAACATTTTTTCAGGTGGTTTTTCAGTTTTTCGTCATTTTTAATGTCGATATTATTGTTCTTTCCTCGACGATTTGTGGCAATCCTGTCACGCTAATAACAAACAATTTCAACTTGTCATTTACAAATTCATTGTTGATCGCTACTTCCCAGTGGGGTTCTTGCCACGCTTTCGAACTCACAAAAATTTGCAATTCATCCGTATCGAATTTCTCGATGGTCCCCCACCTCCACAAGCTTTCCCACCCTCCCCCTTCCACAGCTACAGTTCCCCCCTTTCCATGCTTCATGTCTCACAGAGCCTGTGGGTCGTTTGCGAGCCGAGGCGTGCGTGATGCATGCGATGGGTGTTTTCTGTTTATCTAGCCCTTTCGAGCCAATGCTTCGGCCTCGGCCATCGATTCCGTTCCTTCTCTTTTTGTGTCCCAGTTTAAGCATGTCAAAGCCAGTCATCACACTCTGTCACACTCTCTAGCATGGGGGACACACACTTTTGGAGTGCATAAAATTTGATACGCGGTTGGGGGAGGAGTGGAGTTGGATAGTGGTTCCAACATCGAGAGAACGGGAAATTTTTTAGTGTATCGTATTTTTTCAGAATTTCCATACTGTATCTCCTTTCTTACCTTTTATTTGCCTTTTTAAAACGATATATTTTTCTGTGGATTCTCAATTTAAATGATAAAATCTTAAATTTTCGAAAAACTTTAAAATTAATAAAAATGCATTAGGCAAGAGAACCGACAAGCTCACGTCGCAGTTTTCGTAATATTTGCATAAACTTGTAACAAATCTATATTGGTAAACAAAATTTTTATATGTGGTTGAAAATCATGTTAAGCTACCCCCAGATTGTAGCACTCAAACCCCTTCGCTCTCTCTCGCTCTCTCTCTCTCTCGCTCGCTCTCTCTCTCTCTCTCACTCTCGCTCGCTCGCTCTCTCACCCTCTCTCCCTCTCTCTCGCTCTCCCACTCTCTCTCTCGCTCTTCCTCTCTCGCTCTCTCGCTTTCTCTCGATCCCGCGATCCCACACTCTTTTTTGATCTCTGGAAATTTGATTTTCTAGGCACTCCGCACCGTCATTTGGAGCCATGTGAAGCTCAAACCAAATTATGACCACCTTAAATAAAGAGGTACAGTAATCTGAACCTAGAAATTCATCCGATTTTTTTCTTAGGCATGCTCATGCCGAAAACGCATCATCCAACCCCCAATTTTACCATGGGAATCCGGCACTAATCGATTCGCATCTCAAACCGGAAATCCGCCATTTGGAGCTTTTCGGAATCAAGGTAACGGTTTACTTATTAGGTTTATACATATTTCGTTTTAGTCCTCGATCTACCCGCGCCAAAACTCGGCCCAAATCTACCAGAGAAAGCGGAAACTCCTCCGATTATCGGCCACCACCGCCCTCAAATATCCACCACCACCATTGTAAATTTTATGGGTATAATGCGGGCTTAAAGGAGAACAGCTGTTCCTTTCCATCACTCTCGACGAGACAGAGAAAGCTGTTTTTCACCGAAAAACATGTGGGGGTCTTGGCACAAGATCGGCCATTCGAACGAGATCATTGGCCCGTAACCCACTAAAAGTCGTCTAAAAGCCACTAAATATCGACTAATGCTAAGCGTATTCGATGTATTCCACCATCTACATTTTCAGAATGAAGAAAAAACTATATTACGCCCAAACTACTCCCCACCAACCCCGAAAAACCCCGAAGTATTTTCGTGCCGAAGAAGCCCAGTATTAAGTAAGTTTCTAAAAGGTTCGGTGCTTTTGCATTATCGGGGGGCCCAATTTTTTAGCAGAAGTCCAGAAATGCCCAGTAACTTATTAATTAGCGTTTTTAGAGTGTTTTTAGCAAAATTTAATTATATTTTAAGTTGAAAACAATCAGAAAATACTTGAATTTTATTTGATATTTTTGCGCTAAAACCTATATTTTTTGGGTTTTTTAATACAATTTTTAAAAGAATTTTACGTGTAAGAACAATACAAAACATTTTAGAAACATTTTGCTTATTTATATTAGAAAAACTGGATCCTTGTAATAAATTGGTCCCCCCGATAATGCCAATGAATCAAAATTTTTATTCAATTTAAACTATTTTTAGAAGCTCCAGAACCATCCTCTTTACGTGATTTCACAGCAAAGGAGAAGCGCGAATGCCAGGTTTATTTTGCCCAAATGATTCAACTTGCAAAACAGGCCGCCCTGCCGAGATTTGTTTCCCCCAGTCCATCTATTGCCGAAAAACATGAAAAAGACGTGGTGGGCTATTTATTTCGTTTGTTAAATTTATTTTTAGAAAACTAACAAGTTAAAAGGACATCGAAGTACTTGGAAAGGTGATTATATGGGAATGGATACGGAGGCAAGGCAGAGATATTTGGCTTGGATTGGAGGGCAAGTAGGGCTTATATAATACGTAATAGATTAAGTGTCATTTGAACAATCTCGATTTATGTTATTATTATAATAAAAAACTTATTTAGGTAACTACCATAAAACCAGCGGACCCACAAACATTTTACCAAAAACTGATGTTTGAGAGAGAATTTTCTCCAGAGGTAGGTGAGCTAAAAAACTAAAATAATTTTTTCTTTTTAGCTTCTCACCTCAAAACTTCATGCTCTAAAATGATACCGTAATCCAGAATTCCAATACAAATTTGCATTTTTCACTTTAAAATTTTTTTGGTTGTGTCCGTGTTCCAGGCTTTTTCTGCACTAACGAATTACTATAATGTAATCTTGTCCTTGAATACTTCTTACGCTCGTTCTCCCACTCTCTCACCCTCTCTCTCCCTCTCTCTCGCTCTCTCACTATTTCTCTCCCCTCTCTTCTCTCTCCTCTCTCTCTCTCTCTCTCTCTCTCTCACTCTCTCACTCTCTCTTCCCCTAAAGTGCAGCTGAAGTCTGGAAGCTTTTTCTCCTTGAGATTTATTATTCTGATGAATGTTGTACCAATCGGCAATAAAAAGTGCTAAACCACTACACGGACCCCGACTTTTGAGCAGTTGTCACCTCGGCGGATTTCACCGTCAACGCACGCATTTTCACGCGGTCTTCTGTGTCTAAAAAAGTTTTGAAAATGGTATTAAATAGAGAGTACAATACCTCCATACAGCGGTGTCAGCGATTTTTTGCCGTCTCGAATTCGGTGATGTCGAAAAGCCACCATCACGATCAGACTGTTAACAAGAGAGTTGAAGCCAGTAGTCGTTGGAGAAAGAGCTCCAACTAAAGAAAATTGGTTAAAAAAAAGTTACATCATACTTATATCCGGAAATGGTATTCCTATATTTGACATAATCATTATAGAATAAGGTACGATGATTAGAATAGCGGCACTTCCGGACTAAATCGATAAAATTTAGAGCTTTAAGCTTAAAATCGTAAAAAATACCTGTAAGATCAAGATCCTTCTGAATAACTTCTGTAATCCTTGAGTTCGTTTACTCAAATTTTGATGTATAACATTAGACGATTTAAGGAGGAAATAGGTAGTTGCTCCGAGTAGACCGAATGCTTGAACGACAAGTGATACCCCGACGACGACAAGGCCGATTTTTATGCCGGTTGTTTTCCGGTATACCACAGCCCAGGAACATTCTAGCAGTCGTTGAAGTTCCGGATCAACTGCCTATGTTTGGCTTTAAAATTAAACAAAATTCAATTATTGAAAAAAATAATAAAATCTTTTTTTAGAGAGAAACCGGGGGAGAAGAGAGAGAGTGCGAGTGAGAGAGAAAGAGAGAGGAGAGAGAGAAAGAGAGAGAGAGGGCAATAGTCTAGAAACCCACAATTTCCGCCTGACTTAATATTAATCCATTATAATACGATACCCAGACGAATAATTGTATAGAAACTACAGCCACGATAAAAACAAGAGCCAGGATTTTATTGCTCCATGCAAGATGGTGGGCCTTCGTGCTGGGATTTAACGAAAAAACTCTATAGAATAGTGAATAGAAGATGGAGGTCAGGGTATAAGGTAACACGATGTAGTATATTGACTATAAAATTGGTCATAAAAAATTATTGAGAAGATACATACCACAAAAGCCAGACCGACCTCATCGTTTGGGGCGAGTGGTGTTAGTAGACAAGAGGAAATATGAGGTATGACCATGATTGGTTCTCCAAGTGTGATTAGGGAGTCGCATATTTGGGAGGCTACCTGGAAAACTTGGTTTATTAATTTTATTTCTATTAGGACTTGTAACATTTATATTGATAGCTTGTTTAACGTTTATTTAATTTATAACGTTACAAATCTGTAAAAGTTTCTTTCATTTTTAGAAAACTGGTTTAAAGTATCGATTATTAGCTTATTTAAAATTATCTTAATCTGCATTCTTTGTTTTTTTTTATAGCTTAATTAAGGTTTGTTTGTTCAAGCTGCAGTAATTTGCATAAATCGATAAATCAAATTTCTGTTTTTCCATTTTGTCTAATCTATAAAAACCACTTAAAGGTATCGAAGCCGCATTTAATAAATCGAAAAACTTTTCATTGTTTTTCGTGTTACAGGCTTTAATAACTTTTGATAATTTAAAACTGAAATTACGTCTATAAAATCGTCCCGACTCACCAATATATTAATTTGTATCAACCGATAGCGCAGCGTATTTGCAAACGAATTCTTCACCACAATGTATAATGCGATTACGAAAAAAATCACTGTCCAAAGGCCCAGGCCGCGGTAAAACCAGCACAATATAGTCTTTTCCAATTCCGTAGGGAAATACATGCGATCAACCGGGTAATTGGTGCCGCGTCAATGCTAATTTACGGCGTAGGAATTTCGAATTTAAGATGAAGAATCAAAACGGACTATGAGGTCGAGAGTTAAAGAATATAAATTGAACCTCGGTTGTCTGTGATCGTTGGTAGCAGGCCCGTAGCGGAACCTAAATTTCGGGGGGGGGGGGCCCAAAAATTTTGGCGACCTCCCCCGGTCACCACTTTTAAAACATCCGAAAATCGCGCCAATAATAGCGCCGCAGGCAAAAAAAATAGCAAAAAAGCGTTCGCTACACTCAAATTCGTGTGAAAACAAGGCAGAAAACGCGCCGCAGGCGAAACTTTTTTATGAACAATTGATTCACCAATGAAAAACCAGCGCCGTAGGCGAAAAATTTTGAAAAAATAGGCTTCATATAAGTAAAAACTGTTTGAAAAACAGTAATAAACAGCGCCGCAGGCAGAAAAATTTTTGTAACTAAAAATCATAAGGGTCCCCCCTTATGAATTTTTCAGACCTTGACCGATTTCGGGGGGGGGGGCCCAGGGCCCCCTGGGCCCCCCCCCTCCTACGGGCCTGGTTGGTAGTGATCCGGGCTAAAGCCTTTGATTTCCAGGTGAAAAGCTAAGCTAATGAGGTTGTCCACCCAGTTGTGCGTGTTTTTATACAGCCTGTTTTGCATTTATCAGCTGCAGGTTCGTTGGTACAGATGGACTCTTTTATTCAACACAAAGAAAAATAAATAAGGTAACTTTGGTAAATACGAAAACATGTTATTTGTGAGAAAAATTACGCCTAATAATTGATTTAAATAATAAAAAGGTTGGGGTGATTTCCACTGTCAAAATTCACTTTGTCGAACGCCGACTGCCCCGAACTTCCATTTTTCGAACTCTTTTTGTCGTGATTTCATTTTGTCGAAATTTCTTTTTGTCGAGATTTCATTGCCTCGAGGTTGCACGTTGTCGAAATTACCATAATTACCATACCCATTAGTGATGTTTCGACAAAATGGAACTTCGCCACAGTGAGATTTCGACGAAACGTCAATTTTGACAAATCGGTATTTCGGCAAAATGAAATATCGACAAAATGAGTTTCGACATTTTGCTAGCAAATAAATATAATTTACTATTATCGATTGATACATATCATGATTCAACATTTCTTATCGTTGTATTTCCGGTCTTCCGCGAAGAGCCGCTACTCCCTGCCGGATGTGCGATGCTCGAGATGCTGGGCGGCCGACTTTTCTCACCTAATTTGCATCCTATTTTCATCAAATTCTAGTTCCTACTTACCCTCAAAAATCCGCTTCACCAGTAGGATCACCTGTCGTCGATACACTTTTATCGTCGTCAAAAGAATTAACGAATTCACGGCCGAGTGAGAGCTGATCAAAATCGGGCCCACACCACCAACTAAGCGATTTTTTCAACGTTATAAAAGTTTTTCTTACTAAAATCCGGGATAAAACTCATCCCAGCAAACGAATATGTCAATAGTGTCATCGGGACCACGATACAAAGAGCAGTAAATAGGGCCTATAGGGTATAATCATCACAATTGAGTGCAAGATGCTAATTACCTGCAAGGCAAGCACGTGCAGCAAGTGTCGTTGCATTTGGTGGGTTCTTTGGCTGCTCGTGTAGCGCTAAAAAGATGGTAATTAGGGTTTACAGAGTCCCACCGGCTTATTAGCATGTCGATAGATTAGAATGGCGGAGGTGATGACACATCCACAACTCATTACTGTTTCAAATACACCAAAGATGGTGAAATATAGTTGAAAACTTTCATTTTCACGAAAAACGATCGGGTTTAATTCGTTGCGTAAATAGTAGTAATCGTGATGTAGATCCCCCTAAAAAGGAAGGTATACGAAGGGAACCGGATTTCCAAAAAAGACCTATCGGCATTTCGTCACCTTCATCCGATTGGTCCCAAAATTGGACCAGAGGTGCATTGGGGCCTAAATAACAACAATCCCGGTTTATAGCCCCATAGCTACTGTAGTTCTAGAGATATAACGAAAATACTAGTTTTTCCGTAATTTTCGATAGTTTTTGTATCTCTTTTTGGACTTTGCATCGATTTGCATGACTTTCGGCTATGAATCCTTGATTCCACAAGATTTTGGGTAAATCTGCGTTATAAAAATCTTTTAAATCTGCCCTTATTTGATTGATTTTATTCCCAAACAAATTTTTCAGGTAAAAAAGGCTTGCCGATGAAATTTCAGTCAATATTTGTAGCATCGATCCTCACGCAAACCCTATGAAAAGCGAAAATAAAGTTTCTTTTGCTATAACTCAAAAACTACTGTAGCTAAACATCAGGATTGTTGTTATTTGCGATCTGATACACATCTTTTCAAATGCTGGAGCCGATTGAATACAGAGAGGCGAAAATCCAAGGGATTCTTTCTTAGGACACCTTTAATAGCATTAATTTAAATAGTAAACTACAAACCAATAATTCCGGCGGTATCAAACTATCCGTCAGCCATGCCACCCATATAAAACCTCCACAAAAAACGGCCGTCAGTGGGAACGCAACGTATATAACCTGATTAAATAACGTCAAAAATATCGGTTTTGCCGTAGGATCCATGGAATATAAGCGGTGGAATAGTAAATAGTAAATAAATGTAGAATTAAAGGCCAACGCAACCAAGTAGAGACTGACAAAGCTGAGTCGTAGAAAATACGGTAAAGCCACCGGGGTCAAGAAAATCACGTATAAATGTGGATTACAGGAGATAGGGCTTATAATAAAGAATATAACATCTCCAACCTCCCCGGAAATCGCTATCATCAGCTGCACCTTTCTGTACTTCTTCATGACGAGCGCCTTGACGGAGTACATAGCGTAGATCACCAATCCAAAGAGTAGCGTTGATATAGCCCCATTAAAATAATATACTGCGCTGCAGAAACTGCGCAACCGCTGGTCGGGGAAGAACATCTTGGGAGTGGAATGGAAGATTTCCGGAGAGCCGCCGAATTTCTTTGGCCATTCGATCAATTATAGTTTGAATCCCGGGGGGATGGGTTGAATTAGTATTCGAATTAAAATTAGTGGCCGAGGTTTTCATGCGGATGTTTGTAGCCGGGTGTTTGTAGGGTTCATTAGTTTAGGGTAAAAGAGCGGATTTCGTTTTTAGGGCAGAATGAGAGAACGTTGAGATGGTCGGCTACGGAATTAATTACCTACCATTAGCGTGAGGGGGGTTATTAAGTGGAGGGTAGGTATTAAGGAGTTCCCTATTTAATTCATAGTTGAAAAATAGGCAACAATTACTCATTAAATTTCCATAAAGAATTTGACGCTCAGAGATTACCTATTAAGTTTGAATTCAAATTTTTGCTTTTGTAATTCATGCGATTTTGTAAATAGCTGTTTTGCCATAGTTAGCTTAATTTATCTTGTTCAATTTTTTCAAACACAGACGCTAATTTGCCTTTACCAACTCTATAACATTTGAATATGAAAATATTACCAGATTATAATTAAATTGCATTTTTAGTGTTTTAAATGGCCGAATTTCTTGTTATTAAGTTTTGTATTTTATATATTATTGCATTTTTCAGTTTTATTTCATCTTAAATACAATTTATTACAACCTGAACAACTGATGTTTTTTTGGGCTAATCATACCAAGGCAAAAGCACTTTTTTGGAAATCGGGGTTCGCATGTTATTGGGTCACTCGGCTAGCAGATATTACAAAAAAAATGAGCAGAAAAAAGGGTGATGTGGTAGTGGAAAGCAAACTATCGTAATTCAGGATTATGTTTGTAAAAAAGCAAAAATGACAAATTGCAGCCGTGATTGTGGGGGAGAAAGGAGGAAGGCGTACCTGACAAATGCCCATATAAAAAGTGGCGAAAGGATCGAAAGGGCTTATCTATTTTATTGCAAATTAGGATGCCGAAATTTGATTTTGTCGAAAATTAGCATGTCGAAGTCCATTTTTTCAAATACGCTTAAATTTTGATTTTCCCCATTTTCGTGATGACAAAATTTCGAAAAACGGTGTTTCGACAACGTTACAAATGGTTTACGACCAGATGATTTTTGATAAACTAAAAAACTACGACAAAATAAAATGTCGACAAAAGAAAATATCGACAAACCGTTTTCGACAAAATAAAATGTTGACAAACTGGTTTTCGACAAGAAATTTCGACATTCTTCGACAAATAGCCATTCCATAGAAAGGTATCGTTGCCCGCGCTATAATGTCGTAAGAGAAAAATCGAGGGGAAAATAGAGGAAAAATGCACATCCTGAATCAAAAATTTAGGGCACATGTTGTAGTTGAAGCTCTGGGGGGAATTAATCGGTGACCGCGAGTTACCGTATACCTGGGGTTCGACCAGAAAAAATCGGGGGAGTGAAGAAGCGAATTGGGATGTTGGTTTGGAGCCGAGGGATCGGGAGGGTCTTTGATTTTGTGGGTGTTCAATGGCAATGAATTGGTAATAATAATAATAATAATAAAGATCGTGATATTCGTTGGCTACCGATATTTTTGGGGTGTGGGAAAGATAAGCTGCGACTGGAAGAGTGGGAGGCTAGAATCGAAGGTACTCTTTTTTTGTTTGAGGATTATGTTTTGGAGTAGCTTTGGGATCACAAGAAATATAACTAAGAAGGGAACATTTTGTAGCGTGAATTGGAATCTGATCTCTAATAATTTAAATTTGGAAAAAAATGCTAAAGAGTTCAGAAGCGTTGAGAAACGCAAAATTTTCGAACATGACATGCTACTTGATTTTCCGGGCTTTTTATAAGGTTTTTATTAGCTATTTAAAGAGTGCTATTTTAGGTATTAGCTAAAAAGCCTTGAAACTGCCTCAAAATCGCCATTTGGCGGCTTCTGGAACCGGATTCGCAATCAGCGCCAAATTATGCACAAAATAGATCCGGTGTTGATCCAAAACTCAATTCACGCTAAAATACATCTCCTTGTTAGGGTGCGGGTGCTGGTTAACAAAATGTGCTGGATAAACAAATTTAGATACAAAATTAGGCGGGCTCTAATAGGTTAGCAAGATTTTTGAGGGCATCTAAAGCCGCTAGATCGATAGCCTCATCTCCGGTGGTGCCGATACCTTGATGGACCTGAAAAATCGATAGTTGGTAGTTATTTTATTCATGTTTTGGATCTACTATTTTATTCATTTTTGTGCTCACCAATGCTTTTTGACTCTCCAATCCGAGGGTGGCCAACACCAAACAGTCATTGCCCGACGAGTGGAGTTGGCAGAATTGGAGTGAAAATTTGAACTTTTCAGACAGCTCGGCCAAGCGGTCCCTAGCGGAGATGGGCTTTATTGTGAATAAGGTCGTGCCTTCTGGGGTAAGGTCTCCTAAAAGCTGGTTTACTAAATTCAATATTGATACCTTTCGACGGCAACATCGCCATTTTCGTCTCGTAATTATACGTCGCGAGGAATTCCCGAGCGCGTAGGCACAATTCTTGTAGCTGGTCCGGATGGAGTACACGCTGCTTCTTACGGTCTCGCCTACAAAATATATTTAGCATTTAAGGTATATATCCTACTTTGATAGCTTTGCAACAAACGTCACGTCTTCTGTCTTCAAAGGAGCTATCTCAGAAATAGGATACGCGGCGTCATCTGAATTTTCTTATTCTTCCATGTCTAAAAAATTACCTGGTGGTGGACAAGCCTTCACTTGAGCGCTAAACGTCACTTTCCGCTTTTGTTCAGCTTGCGCTTCCTCCTCAACAGCGTCAGGCACTTCCGGTACTTCAGGAACTTCCGGTGCTGCCGGAATTTCCGGGCTAACTTCAGAAGACTCGTCCTCAGACTCAAAGGGTGGAACAACAACAATCGTATTCCATTTTGTCAATTCCGGATCGCTGGTAATATTCGAGGTATCCATTCCGGGTGCTTCTTCTGCTGGTTGGCTATAATCAGCCGGATCAAAGACCCCAATCATCATCTGCGATTCGTCGTGGCGTTTCTTTAATAGCGATTTCCCAGGCGTAGGCATCGGCTTGACATATCCAATCTTGGCAAGAACATTCTCGGCTGCGGCTCTTTTGGCTAGACGCTTATTCGGGCCCATTCCATCGCATACAATTCCATTCCAAGAGCACGCGACGAAGAATTCTTTGTATCGGTTCTGACCTTGTTCGCGGAGGAATGTGAATTCAGGATCTGCCAGGGATTGCGCTTGCGAGATTTGCATCAAACGGGAGACCGGGTTGATCTGGTGTCCATATTCTGGGTCCATCTTCTTGTCCTTGACGATTGTCTTGCGTTTAACTTCTTTTCCTTGAGCTTGTCTTTTGTCGTTTTTGTAGAGTGACTGGGCGAGCATGATTGGTGATTGGCTGAGAGCTAGAAATTGAACGCTACTTTAATTTTCAGTCATAGAACCTACCAAGTGCCTGTAGCTTCTCAAGAACTTGAGCACAAGCGTCTTGCTTGCCGGCCCGTTTGTTCTTTCCGGTTCCTTCGGCGCTGATGCTCTGATTTGGACCTGCGACGCGGCAGCATACGGTATAGACGCGACTGTGGGCCGGGCCATCTTCAGAGATTGTCTGAAATAATGCGGTGAATAGATAAAAGTATTTACATACCTCAAAGGAAACGTCCATTTTTAGCTGTAGGGCGTGTTCGTGGACTTTTGAGACGACATTTTTCTTTTTGCGGTTGCTTTCTTTATTGTCGTTGTCGCTTGCTTCAGATGCCGAGTCTTCCTATAACGCATGTGGTAATTAAGTACAAGAGAGAAAGAGAGAGAGAGAGAGAGAGAGAGAGAGAGACGGAGAGAGAGACGGAGAGAGAGAGAGAGAGAGACGGAGAGTAGAGACATTCACTCACTTCTTTCGCATGATTATTATCGTCCTGCTTCACCTTCGGAGCCTCCTTCTCATTCTCCTTCTGCTGTAGATCCAACTCGGCAAGTAATGGAGCAAGATAGATAAGCGCCTGATTGGCACATCCCTCCCTAGCCATTTCATAGGTCGGTGCCATCACTCGAAAGAATGGATGTCCAGGGCCCAGCAGAAGAGTTGCAGCCACCATTGGAGGTTTTTGGCGTATATCGTACATCGGATTCGGTGGGAATAAGGGTCTAGTATATTTTATTAAATTAAACTAGTAACGGCTTACGGTGGCATGCCAAGGGGAGCCTGGAATGGTTGAAAATCCGCAAGAGCTGGGATTGCCCTAAAATTGATTTTTCTGAATCTTGCTAAAATTCTTACGGTGGAATCCCTTGAGGTGGCATATTCATCGGAGCACCAATGATCGGAGCAGGACCGTAGAACATTGGATTTCGAGGTGGTTTTGGGTTCTGAAGGTATATTTTAATTTAATGCAACCCTTAACAAACCCGAATTTTCGGCGGAAACGCCAGGTTCGGAAGTCCATTCATACAGTCCTGTTTTTTGTAGTCCGGATCGGGGAGACCGAGGCGGGTTGTGGCATGGCGAAGAAGTACGCTTGGTGGGGATACTGTAGGTCTACAGTAAAAATTTAATGGATTCAAATTACCTCGTTTCTTAGCAAATTCCTTTTTCGCTGGCGGGCGAGCGCGTTTGGTTTCTTGGATCGCAACCGCTGCTGCGGCTTGCTGGGCTTTTCTAATAGAGCCACCAGTGCCTTCATATTTCTAAAATTTATGCGATTAAAAAAGCCTTATAAATAGTTTAAAACAATTAAAAACGATACTCACTTCAGTCGGCGTAAAAACAAGTTGTACTGTAAACATTTTCTTATGCGCCGGCCCGCTTTCATCAAGTAGATCGTACTGGTGTTTGATCTAATTTTATTGCAAATTATTTTATGATATTTTCAAAACATACCCGATGATACCGACACAATTCCGCTACCATACACATTGGTGTCTTTTCCTTATCTTCGCGATCTCCATACCGATACACCCGATTATCCGTATCTTTTTCTCCTGAAGCTCCCGCCGCACCACACCACGGACGGGGGTGGTTTAGTTGGGGTTGTACCTTAATAGTATCAACTATAATAATTTTGCTGTGGTGTCTGTCCGTCTGTCTGTCTGTGCGTCATGTCCCAGATTCAACTCGAAGGGGAAAGGAGCTAGAGCTTAGCTCTCTTCGGATTCGGATAGAGCATGGTCAGAAACCCCCAAACTGATAAAAAAAATTATGAAAAAGTTTTAATTTAAAATATTAAAATTAACTTTGAAAGTTTTTCCTTAGTAAAAGGGGTGGGGGACGAAGGTTGGGGTGATTTTGGACATAGTGAGCCAGGCCGCGCGCGTTTCGGCGAGGGGGAGGGAGTGCAGGGGGTAGCCCGAAGTCCAGCCGCTTGCAGCGGCGAAGCCGCTGGAAGCGGCTGGTAATATATATTTCACCTTACAATAATATACCTGATTATTCATAACCTTCTCGACATTTCGTACTACAGGTGTTTCCTGTGGAACGTTTGTCTGGCCCGTGTCGGGATTATCCGTAAATGACACCATACTCGGCAAAACTTGGTTTTCTGTCTTGGCCTTCAAACTCTTTCTAGCATCTCGCCGACCCGCTGAAAATCAAGGAAATTCTATAAGCTTTGAAAACATAAAACCAGCCAGTATAAAACACCATAAAAAATTCGAAAAACCACGACCCCATACATGCAAAAATGAAATTGTTCAACCCCAACCGGTAGCAAGGTAGTGAGATGGTAGTCCATTAATAATTCAGAAGAAAGTGGCTGGGGATGACATGAAAACAACACCCGCTGTTTTTTCATAAAACCGGATTAGATGCAGTAAGATTCCAGCTGTGTCGCGCTGCTCCCCCCGGGGTCAGCTCTGTGCTCTCACTCCGTGGGGCGCGGTTTAGGTGACTATAGACTGCCAAGGAAGGATTTTCCGGGTAGTGCCAGCTTGTGTAAAACCAGAAATCAATTATAAAAATTGATCTGAGAGCAAAAATTGTATATAAGATGTGGAGAAAAACTAGGATCAAAGAATTTTTTGCTTTACTTTAAAAAAAATTTTGGTAGCCACTTTTTCGTAAAATGAAAAACGTATTCAAACTCATATAAAAAAATTTTAGCCACATAAAAAGTGTTTGTTATTGTTACTAAAGATCTACAAGTGGTTTTTTAATTTCTAAAATTAAGATGTCGAATATAGATTTCTAGTTATTGCATTAGATTTAATAAACTCAATAGAATATTGAATTCTAGATGATGGTAATGTTAAGAAAAAAATCCTAGTAAATTCCTTATGTTGAAACCTCCAAAATCAATATAAGATGTATGAAATTCTCCGATAATTTGTTAAAATTTATTCAAAATCAAACCAACAAAAAATACAAGATATTGGTAGCCGTATGGAGAATGTTTACATGTGAAAGCCAGTGCGGAATCCGAGAAATCACATGAATTCTCCGCCCTTCAGCCTTTTCTTCGCGTGTGCCCTCGTGACGAAGCACATTATCACCGGGATGGCGATGATTAGGAAAGCCACCACGCCGACAACCGACCAGAACCACCATTCTAAATGTAAAATATAATTTTCTAAGGATAAAAATACATTTTTAGGTAATCGCTACAAATTAAGCGCTTTGATCATCTGTCAGTTTTTTCTAAAACGCGTCAAAACTACCGTAGCGGTTGCCAAAAATCGTGTAGACACCGAGCTTTTAAATACCATAACCTACCATTGTAGACCTCTTCTATCTCGCAGTACCTGCCCTTGTATGGCGAATGACATTTGCAAGACGGCTGACTGTGTGCCGTACCCCAACATGCCCCACGGTGCATGCAGTGATGTGGACAGCGCGAGAGTTCGACTGAATACATCTGAACATTTAGAAGTTATTAACGAATTTTTAATATTAAAGTTGAGAAACGAGTTCCAGAAACGGTGTAGGGTTACGGTACGCACCAAAAACCCGACTATCAAAGAAAAAGTTGTCGAAAACACATCGAGAAATAAGATAATGGCTTCCTAGTGCCTTTAAAGGGACTGACAAGGTCTGGACCTGAATTTGTTTAGCTATGGATGGACAAAATTGCGCCACATCCGCTACACGACACATTTAACTACACAAAAATTTAAAGGAACGGGTACGGTATGAATGAGTATCGACCGCAATACGCCAATCGTAGAAATCCATAACCAACAAACGATAGTTCTCCCTTGCCAGTCCCTTTAGTCTAGACAAAATTTTTTGACAGGACAACTTTAAAGAAAAACCACAAAAACCACAAAATTAATCGAAACAGTTCCTCCCAACGGCGACAACCTGAGGTTGAAAAGGTTTGTGTGTTAGTGTCCCAATCACCCCGGTTTGATTTTGGCTGTTCAACAGCTGCATCGGGCCCAGGATCAGCCCGAGTCTCGAGGTGGCTATAAATGATTAGAGCCCACCGGATCCAGTGACACGTTCGCTTCTCACTCTCTCGTTCTCTCTCGCTCTCTCTCGCTCTCTCTCTCTCTCGCACTTGCTGCCTCGCTCAGTCGCTCTCTTTCACGCTGTTGCCCCTTTTGAAGAAGACATATGTTCACCTTTGGCACATCGACCACCTGAAAAACAACTGCGGAGGGCTCTTTGCTTTTTCTGGAGGAAGTGTGTGATCGAAGCGTTCATAAAACTGAGTACAGCTAATGAAATGTACGTCATTAGTACGTCCGTGGAGATAGAATGCCAAAAATCCCGAAAGCTTGAATCAAGGCAATGAAATCCCGACATACCACATTGTAGCTTAAGACAAAATGGTCTTCGAACCAGCACCAACAGCGTCACGAGGTTTCAATGAATGTTATATTAGCATGAATCCATTCTGAATCCCATGCGCAGTATTTGTTTGCTCCGTCTCGGGATTTACGCTGTCGGTATTTTCATCTGTCGGGTTTTTCAATCGGGATTTTGGCTGTAGCCATTTTTGTTTCCAGGATTTTAACTGTCCGGATTCTGACCAAAATTGACTTAAGTAAAATATTAGAAACTTAGGTTTTTTCGAGGTATATATGAAGATGTCTTACAGCCCCCTTGAGCTGCCATGCAGCCTTATTTTAGAAATTTCTAACTATCACAGGAAGGTTAGTATCCGAAAACATCGTAATTTAATTCTCGGGGTACATCCATTTCATGAAATAGCATACTGTAGCCAACACTACCATAATTATTCCTTTTACGAGAACGAACAGCTTCTTCAGGTGTGATTTGTAATTCCTATAACTTGTTTACGTTAACAAATATCCTGAATTTTAGCCGCATTTGCCTTCCTGTTCCATTTTTAAGCATTTTCTCATTTTTGCTTACATATTTTAATTTTTATATTAACTTAATTGCATCATATTTGCATTAAACACTTTTTGTTACATGCACATTGCCCATCCACTACCAGCCGCCTCATTATTTGCATTTGTTCATTTTGTTTGCCCCCATGCCATCATGCAGTCCTTTTGATGTTCGGGCGTGTTGGGAGCAGTAGTTCGTAGCCCAGGCATAAAGACGGGAGGGATTTAGAGGTCATAATAGATTAGCAGTTGCATTTCAAAGGTCATTTTGCTTAGAATAGACAAATTTAAATAACTTTATTCACATATCACATTATAATTCAGCTATTTTCGATATTTGCATATTTTAGGGCATTTTCATGTCAACCCGCGAGGGTCGGGTACGATTGAAAAGAACGTCAGAATCGGAGAATAGCAGTGAGGAGGAGGGAAAGCGAAGTGAAGCGTGGGTTTTTAAGGAAATATTGTTTCTATAAGGTTTTATATATTTTATTGGCATAACTAATTAAAATAATGTAAATTTTCGAACTGACAAGATTTTTAGCACCTTACAATTGGAGGAATACGCCGAAAAATTAGCTGAAGATTGCTGCGATTCTGCTATTATCGAAGCTTCTATTGAAAATTGGGTAGAAGGTAAGAATTCTAAAAATATAAACATGTCATGGTATTTTTAGAACCTATATATGTAAAATTATGCAAATTTCACATATTTTCAGTAGAATTTCGCATTTTTTTAATGCTATAATCGACTTTAAAAGGAGATTTCACTTCGGTATTTTACATCTGCGGGTGATCCTTTTAGCGACACGTCAGATAATCAATAGCGCACGCATTCTGAGCCCCAAAAAGAGCCACTGAAAAGGGCCACGCCCAGTCAGCCTGTCCGGGCTCGGGCTTTTCGTCTGTACGACTCTCCCACCCGGGGACAGGCTTCATCATATCGTAGATCTATTTAATACCCAAATTCAGATCTTTGTGCAGAGGAGGAAGGAATCGACGAAAGTAAGCCCGAACTAGCACAGCAACTAAAAAAGAAACAAAAACCATATGGTAATTTAGCTCTAAAAAGTTAAATTGTAACTTTTTAAGGTATTATGTCACGGGTATGGCCACTTATGATATTGATTGTGGTGACGCTTGCTTCATTTTTTGCATATTGGTAAGTTTTACAACTCTTAAAGTATAATAATGATACTTTATTAGTGCGAGCGGACACCAAAAATATCGACATCAACTGCCAGCCCAACCTTTCTTTCCAAATTACACCGAAAGTTGGGTGTACGATTTTCATAGTGGACAAGCAATTGGGGAGACGCTAGAGAGGTAGGTTTAATATATTTAATATGATATATAGCATAACTAAATATATTAAAAATAACAGATTTTTTAGTGATCAATGGACTACGATTACACTTTATTATGCTCCCTGGGATCGTTATTCTCAAATTATGAGGGTCCCGTTTCAAAAAGTAGCCAAAGAAATACGAACTTTACACCGAACGGTACGTATAAAATAATTTTTCATATTAAATATGATTTCTAGGTCCGTTTTGTCGCAATAAACTGCTTCGCGGCGCATGGAAAATGCAAGCAAACCTATCGTATGTTCGCGTACCCATTTATCATGGCGTATGTCGGGAGATCGAGCTCTGTTTATATGGGAGAGCCAGAAGCTGATCATTTATATCGGTAAAAACCCGCTTCAAAATTAATTACAAAATTCCAGATGGGTTGACAGCTTACTACATCCCGTACAACTTTTAACTACCCAAAAGGACATTGATAAATTTGTACAAGAAAGCTATTATCCTATTATTGGATATTTTCCATTGGTAAGGTATACTATTAAACGATATACAAATTTTTGCAGATAAAATCACCAATCAACATAAGGCTGCGAAGATTTATCGCCGTCGCCAACAGCATCCACACCGGGCAGCCAGGTGAATTTTCCCAGGTCGGAAAGGTCATGCTAATTACTTTTCCAGCCCGATACGACTACCAGTTTGCCGTTATTTCAAATCAAAATCTGGCCAGAGTCAATCAGCTGTCGACCGGTTGGCCTTTGGTAGCACAGGTGAAAGCTATAAAAAAATTAAAATATAAATTTTTAGACAAAATTCGAGGGGCCCGATTGTTATAGCGGAAATTTCACCCGGAAAAATATTGAAGAGTGGGCTTTGCAACTTCCTGGGAGGGATAAGACGATTAGAAGAGTGGAATTTAGTAAGTTACAGTAGTCTCGGAAAGATCTAAAAATTTCAGATAAACTCTACGAGCTCAGCAATCGAGATTTTTCAACGCTACTCCGAAAGGGCCCTACGCTAATTTTATTTGCCGAGAATAAGGCGCTGGGCGAGAATTTGCTGCTTAATTTATTTAAACAGGTTTGGATACTGTAATTTAGCTATAATTTTTGTTAAGATGGTTCACGAATATCACAACTGCGCAATTGGACAGAGTACAAATGTAATTATGCATATTAAAGCTAGTCAAGGGAATGTTACTGGACGATGTGGGGTGATGTCACCAAATAAAGTAGGTTTATCAAATAACCTTAAAATTTTTATTATATATAGTAATTTGATAGCTCTTATAATTACTAATGAAAAAACTTTAACCCCTTCAGGCATTGGCTTGTTGCGACTTTGATGGACAACAAATTGACTGGAAAAAGATTTGTCCAGTTATCTCATCTTGTCAAACTGACGAGTGCTTGCAAAATCTTTTGGTAATTTTAAACTTTTTCAATTAATTTTAAATAATTATATAGGAAGCAGCACCACCACTTCCGGAAACTTGTCTAATTACCCACGCCTCGGATTACGGTATTTTCTATCAAATTAAATTTTACTTTTATTTAGTCACAATCTGGAAAGCCTGCTGCGCAAGAGCAACATCAATGGAGCTAGACTCAAAATTGCCGGATCGTCTCTACCTTGATCGAGCGTCAAATCTGGCTATGATAGATGCGCAAACCTGCACATCGAGGCGTCTGACAAAACAGGAACGATATAAGATGTAGGTATTCAAATTTGATTCTGATATTTTTGATAGCCGACCCGAAACGCCGGACATTGGCTACGATTTAACGTTCCTCAGCGGAAGAGGGTGTCGGCATGAGGAAGAGGAAAAAGACGAGCCGCTGCTGCAATTTGCTATACTGGACGCTAAACAAAATGTGTTTTTTGCTAAGAAATGGGGGATTAAAGGTATAATCTGCATGCGTCCTCTAAGAATTCGATAGGTTCACCAGCGATCGTCGGAGTCGATTTGAAAGCGGAAATGTTTGGGGCCGAAGAGAATGTTAATGGGTGAGTATAGTAGATCAAGCCTATAATCTTGATTCAGAACATCCCTTCTAAAATTCACACAAGATTTCATTGCTGAAAATGTCAACGATTATTTCCTCGGTGAAGAGAAGCGGGGTAGTGGATTTTCTCATAAGGTAAGCAGCAGGAAATGGTAGCTTAATTCCTATAAATTCAGATCCCACTTCCGGAAAGAGAAGAAGCTAAACAAAGCATGCCCGTGCTCTTAGAAAGACTGACAAAACATACATTCCACATTGCTACGGAGGTACGGTCAATATCAAAATACCGCATATTGTTTTAGTCCAACATTGATAGCGTTGTTTACTTTTCTGGCGGAAGCTGGCATGGGCCGTCGGCTACGCAAATGCATTTGATGCATTCGGTGTCTAGAATATTTCTACCGGCTGCTGAAGGAATGATACGATTCTATACGTACGTTTTGGAAATCGAGATTTAACGTAAAAATTTAGGATCGATGCTTCTCGGAACGAGCTGCCTTACAATTACAATTTCGAGGCATATCCGGCAATATTGATTTTTAGTCCAAACAAGTAAGTTTTGAGCTCGTTACCATAAATGTTTGGCTTATTTTTACCTTCACTATTTTTAAGGACCGAACTATCCTGGAAATATCCAGCTGAAGCAAAACTCGACATAGAAGACATTACAGCTTTTATCTTGTCATATTGTAGCGATGAGCTGCGAGTAAAAATGGCCTTTGAGGTGAAATTGTTTTAACTTTTACTAATTGTTCATTTAGCTGCTTGACCGTACATATACTCCTCGCGTACTTCGAAGACTGAAGCGCCACATCCATTGGCTGAGCTCCAGAAATCGATCGCTTCGTGAATTTTCATTACTTCGAACGGGTCCTCAACACGAGCTATTCGTTTTCCACGAACGAGCATTGATTCAAAAGTAAGTCCTTTTATTTTTATAGGCATCGCTGAAATATCAAAATATTCAACTTCTCACCAAAATGCTTTCAGAAACATCCTCCGACTCCGTGCGGCCCGTGGCCTTCTCTCCATCCTACGCAATCGCGTCGACTTCTCATCCCAAAATCAAGAAATGGGAAAAATTGCCAAACTCCTGAGAGAACTTCTCAATTCCTAGTCTCTAGACATTATTAGGTCATTGTGCCTCATTATTTTGGTGCCTTATTTAATTGAAATTGTGATTAGCAAATTTCCGGGTACTGTTGTTGTTAGCCAAAGTGCTCTGGTTGTTATAATGGAGCTGTCACTTGCCAAGATACGGGTTTAAGAAATATGGGTTGAAAAAGAAAAATGTATTGACATTAGTGCATTATATATACACCTCAAAATCATAAAGTTATCGATGAAAAAAGATAGGCATCTGTGTCCATAGCGCAGAAGTCTGTTCGACGTGTAAAATTCGCAGATAACGCCGAAAGTCTGCCCGTTCGATAAATACACACATTAATAGAATATACTTTATTTCATATTATAAACAATTTCGTTTAAGAGGTAGACATGCAGGCCGTTCCGTCATTGTCGAAGATAAGGTTCTGCAGATTCATGACGATAGTAGTCATCAGCGCGTTCTGGTCAGAGGGCACGAACGAGCATTGAGTACCTCCAGTCACCAACTGGAAAAACATAGATATCTCTAAAAATTCCAGTTTACCTGAAGCGAAGCTCGGTCCATACTGCCGTCTCCATAAGAAACACCAGCGATCGAGTAATACTTGAAGGATTTCAGATAGTTGGCGTTCCTCTTGGCGTCATCGGTGTCGGTGATGCTACAATATTTGGGTATTGAAAACCGATGTATCTTGGTCGTACCTAGCAGCTGAGGTCAAATAGATAACCCAGTGGTTATTGGTATTCGGGTTGTATCCGTCGGACGGCTTGGTGTACTGTCCAGAGACCAGCTCGAGAGCTCTGAAAATTGCATAATGTACATCTTTAACTTCAGCTTACTGTCCAGTGTATTGACCAGTGGCGCCGAAGTCATTGTAGTAGTTCTGGATGTCGCTAAGCGCCTTGAAAAGCGCGTCCTAAAAAGTTTAGGTTGACTCTAGAGCAAAATCAGTTACGGTGCTTGTGATGGAGCTCAATGGAGCAACCGGGAATTCGCCGTCCCGGCTTCCGGCAACATTGACTACACCAATGCGAGCCTTTTGTTGGCTGACGGTGAATGCGGTCAAGAAGGTCTTGATGAATTGGGTATACTAAAATCAATAAAAAGCTGTTATAGTCGGACTTGCATCGGCCCATTTGCTCTGTGCGGTGGCGGAGCTGTCGATGACGAAGACGATGTCGACCTGAAAGGATTGGCTACAATTTGCTGAGCTTTTGCGACTTACAACTCGGTTGGCAAGAACATCCGACGTGGTGGTCTGGATTCCCGGAGTCGTTGTCTAAATGGACGTTTAAGAATTTTTAGGCATTGGATACCATTGTGGTTCCAGTGTAGGCAGTGGTGGTGGTAGTCACTGTCGTCGTAGTGGTAGTAGATGGAGTAGTGCCAGTGTTAGGAGAGGTGGTAGGTCCAGCGGTCGTCGAGCCGGCTAAAGAACATTTCCTTGTGTGTGCGAAAAATCCGTACCTGGCAAGCAGAAAGCAACCACGTGCCTCTGGAATGTCTGCCCGACCTGATCGACTCCGTGGATAGTCATATAGAAGCCCTCGTTAGCCTAAAACTCTATATTCAGAAGTGAGAAGGGTCCCTACAGTGCAATCAAATGGATCGGAGTAGTACTCGAAGTGGCACTTATCACGACGGTAGAGCTCACCATAGACGGCCTGAAATACGTTAATTGCGGCTAGACAGCTAAAAATACCTTCATCGACACAGGGTCGTACATCTCGAAGTAGTTGAGAATTCCGCGACTTCTGCGGTCCTGTCCAAGTTGGTACATATGGAAGACAGCGACGTTCTTGACGCCAGCGACAGCCGTCAAGCTAGTCTGGTCAGTGTGAGCGCCAGTGGGATCCGCGGCCGTTGGTTGCACGAAACCGGCCCAGGCTTGAGGACCACCGATGGCTTGGATGTTGACGTAGCAAGCACCAGGTCCGGAGGTCTAAAACAAGGTATTTTAGATTGCTCCGACAGTACCGTGAACAAGTAGGTTCCAGCCTCGTTCTTGTGGATGTGGTAGTACTTCTGGCTTCCGTAGCTGTAGAGGACATCCGGTGGGAGTTGGTCTAAGATTATTAGGTTTTTGATGATGAGATTTGTAACTTACTTCCACGGGGGTCGACAACCGAAATCGAGGCAACATCATTAGATACAGAGATGTAGATGTCGGTCGAATCGTTGTCGATTTGGAGGTACCTTAAACCAAATTGATATGACGATATTCGATATAAAAAACCTACCAGTTGGTAGGAGTTTCGCAGGTGAAGTTGGAGAAGTAGGTCGGGTGGGAGAGAGTGTTGCTGAGCGTTGCTATAGATGGCAGGTAGACAGTGATAGCCTGCAAAGCTTAGGGCTACTTTTTTGCTCTTACCTTCTGGATCTGATCCTTGTTGGTGAAGAAGTTATTTCCGTCGGTGGCATAAGCAACACGCTGAAGGTGCCATGCATCGTCAGTCGTCGGCATCTCGGCACCGTTGAAGCAGGTCGAGGTCGCGGAATAGAAGTAGTGGATCTAAATAGTTTTCATCTTTCTTTTTGGATATCCTAACCTTTGGTGAGGCTCCGTTGAGCATCAAAATTGTGCTCCATCGCTGGTCGGTATCGCTTGGAACGGAAGAGGCAACGAGGAGAATATCACCACCATATCGGAGGTTCGGGTTTTGGAAGGCAGCTCCGATAGCTCTATATTCAAATTTCAAATGGAATATTTTTGGCTTACCCGAAGATGGGGAGGTTGCAGCTTCCGGTGTTGCTGATAGCATTAATCTGAGAGCTGATCGAGGCGAGCAGGCCAGTGGTGGATGAGAAGTTCTGGTTGAAGACGACACCATTGGCTAAACAAGTTTAGTTTCAGGTTTTCCCCATAAAACCCACAATTGAACGTGACGAGCAAGTAGTTCTTGTACCGCATGGAGGTAATGGTGTTGAGTGCGGCATTGAGACCATTGACAAAGTTGTTGGCATTGTCCTTGTTGTTTTGAGTAACCTCAAGGATGACGGTCAGAGTAGATCCCGAGGTATCAAAGGTGTAGTTCTGCGGGTTAATGCAAGCCTCATATTGGCAAGCCGGTCCCTCGAAACCATCAGGGCACAAGCACCGAGTGTTCGTCATATCGAGGTATCCACCATTGACGCAAATTGGGGTGCTGCATTGCTTGCCCTGCCAGTATTCAGTGCAAACGCAGCTTCCGTTGTAACGGAGGCCTCCATTTCCACACGTGATCGACGGCTTTTGGCAATGTCCATTGACAATACGCTGGAATGTATGGCCGTACTCATCTTCTCCCATGTGGTAGACAGCGAAGAGATTGTCAGCATTATCAGCATCGGGGCAGGTGAAGGGTTGGGAGATCCAGTCGAGAGAGCAGAGGACGCGGGGTTGATAGGTGACGGCATCCCACATGGTTTCATTGTGGGCACTGAAGATAAGGCCGTGGGTGAGGATGGGGGTCCGTTGTTGGAAGGAAGCGGCAGAATCGACGAAGGTGACAAGTCGGTTTTGGGTTGATTGAGAGACCGGGCTCGGATCGGGGAAGTCAGCGTGGCTGTCTTCGGTGTATCCGCCGTAGATCTAAGAAATGTTTTGGAAACTTCTATTTTTGTTGGTTACCTGGAGGTGAGACTGGACCCTGACATCGATGAAGCAACCAGGTCCAAGAGTGGTGGAGCCGTCAGTTGGAGGTTGTTTCGTCGTGACCTTCACGTAGTACTTGCCGGCTGGCATGTCATCTGAAATTTAACTAAGTTAGGGCAACTTTCAGGTTTGTTACCGTCGTCAATCCTGTTCGGCTGGTAGTTCCAGTCATAGAGATGCTTCTGGCAAACGAATGACTTCGCAACTTGGCACGAGTCGCCATTCCTAAGTATTTTTCTGAGATTCGAAAGAATTCTACTGACCAATTGTTAGTGCCGCTGCTGGAATCAAAGAAGCCGCAGAGTTTCGTGTTGTCCGTGGGCGGGCTGCCTCCGTTCCAGTAGTTAATACCGCTGGCATTCCAGGACACTGGTGGCACTCCGTTCTCACGATCCCATTGCCATCCAGTTTGATTCTGGTTATTAAGGCCGAACCAGAACTTCAGACCAGCGCCATGTGAGACGAGGTAAGCATGCTTGTCTGCGGTCAAATCATCAGCGAGCATGCCACCGCCATTGCGGCAGATAGCCTGGGCGGTCGCATAGTCTTGCGAGGGGTAGGAGAAAAGCATGCAGTAATCGCCAACTGGGTCCCAATCCGGATCGCAAGAGGCGCGTTGCGTGAAGAAGTTCCAACCAGATACGCTGTCTTGGGCATTGGTGAGCGGGCGGAAGTTGGGAGCAATTTGCAATCGGTTATAGCCATTGTACAGCTCGACCTGGGCCTGGTATCCTTGGACGGCGATGAGGAGCGATTGAGCGTATGCGTCGACTGGGACCGAGATGTATTGGGTACCAACACAGTTATCGTAACGACGATGGGCGACGACACCCTGCATGAACTTCATAGGGATCGTTCGCACGAAGCCCTCGACGACGGCCTGCTGAAGGTTGTACGACTCGCCGTTGGAGTAGCGGCATAGGTCGTGGATCAGCTCGAAAGTGTTCCAAGTGTTGTTGCACAGATAGCTACCGCCATTGACGTTGTTGTACGCAACGACAGCAGTGATTTTGACCTTGTAGTCGAGGACAGCCTCATACATTTCAATAATCTCGGGCAGGTTTCGGCTTTGCTCGGGCGCGCTGGCGATGAAGAGGTTGATGTACGAGCCGGGGCGGATGTTCCTCTGGATGATGGCTTGGGCCATGGCGTGCCAGGCTTCAACGGTGGTTCCATTGCAAGCATCGGTCGAGGAGTCAAGTTGGTTGTAGTTGCTGGCGATGTTCTGGAGGGCCTGGACGACGTTTTGTGGCTGGAAAGAGTTGGCGGTCGCGATGGTGCCTCCCCAGGTAGAGTTGAAGCCGATGAGGACGAAGTTGCGGATCCATTCTGGGTGGTGAGAGACGGTGTCACGGAGGATTTCTGGGAACATTTTGTTGAGGTTGACGATCTAGAATAGGAAAGGTTGATGGTAAAATTACTTAGCTAAATAGCTAAATTGATAAAAACTACAATACCTGTGCGTATGCGGTGGTGGTAAGCTCAATGGCGAAGACCATGTCAACAAATTGGGTCATGATCTGCGGTGGCGGACCCTTCTCAATGCACGACACTAAATTAGTTTGTTTTTCTCTTTCGAAACTCATTCCACTTACGAGTCTCGCAGTGAGTTCCCATGAAGCCAGGCGGGCAGGCGCAGAAGCCAAATCCAAGCGGCGTTCCTCCGTTCCAGCAAACAAGCTGCTCGCAGAACTGTCCAGTATATCCTGGTGGGCAGTAGCAAGTCTGGTTGTTGCCCATCGGATCAGGTACACCACCATTCTGGCAGCCACCTGGCGGGGCGAAGGTGGGATGGTACTCTGTGCAGTACATGTTTCCGGCACGTTGGATGGTGAAGCCCAGGGCATCGCGGGTGAAGAACTGGAAGTGGAGATTCTCGTTGCCGGTGCGGCAGGTGAAGGGCGGGAAGTAGAAGTTGTAGTCGCAGCCGTCACGCCAGATTCCGTTGGAGGAGTAGATGTCGATGGGGGCGCCTCCGCGGGTGGCGGTGATGAGCAACTCGGCTTGGACGTATTGAGGTGGGATTCTGTCGGGGAAGTTGGTCAGATGGATGCCGATGGACATCGGGTTGCCTGAAAGGTTACTAGCATTATATTATTTAATGCAATGTTTATGATTCTATTCAATTTATTGCGCATATTCTAAGTTCACTTACCAACAACCGGTTGCTGCCAGAAACCGTCGAAGTTGATGTTCTGCGAGAACTTCCAGAACATTTCGAATTGCGGGTTCTAAAAAATTCCATAAACTTGTAAATTGTATTGGATCGATACCCCGAAGCTGGCCTGATGGTAGGCGCGCTGGAAGATACGGTACGAGCAGCTGGACAGCGCCTGCGAGGACAACACGTTGAAGAAGTAGTTTCCGGCGACGATGCCATCAGCGGACCTAAAGAATCGGGTGATTCACCTAAATTGTCACACTCACCAGATGTAGATGTCATTGCCGGAGTACAAAAGCTTCGGGTTGATGACGCCTTCACCAGAAATAGCAAGCGTGAGCCCAGCTAAAGGAAAAGTTGAGCCCTCGAAAAATTGCGCCCACTTCCGCGCGCAACGATGATAAGTTGATCAAGGGTCGTATCAATGGAGATCGACTTCCAGAGCGATTGCATCGAGCAGACCTCAAGGTCATCCAAAGCCAGTAGTTGGGTACGGTAGAAGGTGGCCCAGATATGGTTGTAGAGGAGCTAAACCAGCCTTGGAACCCTAGAGAAAAGTGTTACATCAGAGACGCTGGTTCGGTTGGTGACGTAGAAGGCGAGACCCTCGGTTCTCTGGGCGATTTCGTCCATGGCACGGAAGCCAGGGTCGTGGATATCCGGGGTGCAGGCCTGTCCGGGGCTGGCCTCGATGTACATGAAGAAGATCGGGACCTAAATTGTCATTTTTAATGAATAGGCGGCTCAATCAAATACCCGGAAATAAGAGTCGAGCTGAAAGACGGTCTCCAAATTATCTCCATAGTCCTGGGGCATCGAGTCGGTGATGACGTATATCTAGAAATTGATTAAAAGTTTTGAGAACGACTAACCTTGGAGCGCGGGGAGATCTCAAGTCCCTGCAGAGCTTGGGCGATGAAGCTGAACTCAAGATCAGTGCAGTTGCCTCCATTGTTGGTGACGTTGGCCGCATAGTGGTTCCAGGCTCCCGAGAAGCTCGAGATTCCGCGGTAGCTGGCAGCATGGATGAGCTCTGAATTAAGGATGAGCCTTTCTCTTTCAGAGAGGTGGCTCACTTCCGTCCAAGTAGAAGACAGCGCCGAAGTTGGTGACGTATTCAGGATCCCAGGCTTCGATGACGTTGACGACCTTCTGGATGGCAGCGAGGGCCTAGAGGGTTAGGAGGTTTTACTAAAAGTTGAATAAAAATCATACCTGGTCGAGGACATTTTGAAGTTGGCTGCGAACACGGACAACGAAGACGAGAGAGGGCTTGTCGACGTAGAAGTTGTCTTGTCCACGGTCAGAGCAGACGACGTCCTAAAGGTTGTGTTTTAGGGTAAGCGAAGGGACTAGGATTTTCTGATAAGTTGATGCTTACCTGACAGTGTGTTCCGATGAAGCCGTTCGGGCAAACGCAAGCGATTCCTCCACGATCTTGTCCTCCATTCATGCAGACCAGCTGGCTACAGGTAGCTCCTTGCCACAATCCACGGCACACGCAGAATGCCGATCCATCGGGGTTCTAAATAGCATAAAATTTATTTTAATTGATTGAACGCCTTTCTTTCCGCCAATTCTCTTAAAAACCTCCCCCTGCAGCTCCCTTCAAAGAAATCAAAGCCTAGCCCCCGTCGTTATCACCTTTAATAGCCAAGCCCTTTCCACTCACACAACCCAGAAGTGTGCCCCCCTACGCATCCATAAAACGTCTCACCGCCCTGATGCCTAATCACCCACCGTAACGAGCAGACCGCCGTTGGCGCAGCTTGTCGGATTTGTCGGGGCCGGAGTAGATCCGGTCGGGGCAAGGGTGGGTCGGTTGGTGTTGTACAGACAGGAGAAGACGCCCATTCGCCGGAAGGGATTTCCCCTCCACGTCACTCCCTCCACAAGCCAAATGTGCTCTCCAAGGTTCTGGCAGAAGAAGCTTTCGTAATAGTATTCGTATCCACATCCGTATCTGGTGCGCAGGGGCTGAGATCGGCTAGCCTGATTTCCGCCGGCCATGATCGAGACGACAGCCAGCTGTCCGGGGTGTCGCATGTTGGAGGGGTGGGCGACAAAGGTGTTGAGGGTGTACTGGTAGGTGTACTTGAGGTCCGGGTAGTCGGAGCGCTCTGTCTGCCAGTCCTCGCCGGTGATGAAGCCTCCCTCGACGGCGAGCATGGTTTTGGCTCGGATTTCGAAGTAGCAGGCGGCATTTGGGACACCGACATCGGGGACGAGTTGGTAGGTGTTTGGGGGCAGGGTGGTGTACATGGCGCTGATGGTGGTGGGGGTGCGTTCGAGTACAATATTGGCAAAGTAGCGCTTTCCTAAAGGAGTGAATTTTTGGGATGATTTATGTTTATTTTTCAAAAGTCCTTTTTTACAAAAATTGATTGATTTGATTTGTAGGAAAAAAGAATTTAGGAAAGATGATTTTAGGTAAAATGACAGTAATTCGTTTGGTATGCAAATGACACTTACCAGTAGAGTCCTCAAGGTCGAAACCAGGCTGAATATTGCCGTCAGAGGTGATAGTGACAATGATGTCATACATCTCGTCGTCGACAACAGTCACATGGGTGCGGGTGCAGTTTGCTCCAAGGAAACCAGCATCGATGTATGCACCCTAAAATCCGGGTAACCTCGTTTAAGGTAACATCTCCTACATCTCCATCAGTAGCAGGGCGGTCGACAACTCGTTGGTTCGTCTCAATGCAGATGGCTATACACAATAAATTTTATAGCATATATTTTTTTTATACTCACGATACTGGCAGTACTCTCCAGTATATCCAGGGCGTTCGCAGAACCTGGAGGACAACACCGCGGCGTTGGAGTTGGGCAGGACGGCTTCGAGGAAGGGGTGGATCGATCGCTTCGAGCGGCCATGGTTCTGAAAGTTATACTTTGGTCAGATATTACAGGGGCATTAAACCACAATATCAATGAAGTCATCATTTTCAAAGGGTTCTTGAACGGCTTCCTCTTGTTGTCGAGTTTTCCAGTGATCGGCGTATACGATAGGGCCGTCATTCCATGTGGAAAGGACTTGAATAAACGGATACATGATAGATATGAATATAATTTTTAATTGTTTAAGTTAGGAAAAGCCGCTCGTGCTCATGCTCATGCTCCCACCTCGTTTTATGGCTTCCGAGTCCTCTCTCGCCGCAAGGGCGACGACGGCTGCTGACAGCAGCAGCCAGCCGTACCGCATGCCTGCACCCTGAATCAGAAAAACGTATATATAATTAAAACAGAGTAATTACTATTCAAATTATAAAATTTTTACATTCAAGTTTAAAAATTGTGGAATGCTTGTTTCGCCAGTATGCGACTCTTTTGACAAGTTTATCAAAATCAAACTTTAAAGCACGACAAAAGCCGACTTTAAACTTAGTCAAAGCTAAATATCGAAATCCCTGAAACAACCCCGAAAAAATGACGCGCCTCCAGGGCGTTTGGTATGTAATGAGTAGTGAGTGGGGCGCCAAACCCCACGATCCACACCCATTCTTTATCAGGCACTACTAAAACGGACATAAAATTCGCCGACACGTTAACTTTATGTCCTTTCTGATTGTGTCCCAGCGGCGTATTCAGCCGTTGCAACGTGGATCCTGGTCAGAGGAGTTAGGGTGTTCAGCGAGAATGTATTAAAAATGGGAAATATCGATAATCCCGGGTACTGCAGCGTTATCATGTCTGTTTCAATTTGTCCTGACTGCGGACTGTTTGCAAATTTTTTTAAGCGATTATAATGATACTGAATATTTATTTAAGCTGCAGAAATTACATAATACAAAATATAAATATAAATACAACATACCAAAATATTTCATATTGTATTCTGTCGACTACTGTAGTGTTACCATCTCTGCATTTTAGATCCTACCTCCTTAGATATCGATTTAATAATTTGCCTGTAATTTTTGTAACGCTGTAAATTCTTCAGCTGTAATTTCAACATACGTAATTAACATAACATAAGTAATATTTATCGAGAAAGATATGTGGCTTTCGAATTAAACAACAGCGACCAATTCTTCGAAATTTTACACTTACAATGCTGCACAATCATATAGAACGACCCTGTAGCCCCGTATTTGCACCCAGAAATAAGTTACACATAGAAAAACATAGAGAAAAACAAAAAATCTAAAAATCCGATTTCAACTGCGTCCGTCGATCGATAGTCTCGCTGTCTTCAGGCTATGTTTTGCTTGGATCTAAAAATCCAGATAAAATGAATCGATTGCAAAATGCGTTAATTTTTAATCATATTAATCTTTCCCCAGTCCCGGCCACTGTACGGTGCAAATATTCGAAGAATGGTGCTTTTTGTTTTACTGCGATCATCGGGGGCCCACGACAAACACGGGTTGCGAGCAAGCTTTTTCGGGGTTCAAAAACTTTATTCCCTAACAGCAACGAAAAACAAAATCTCTTTCCAAAGGTAGCTGTCGTGGTACGCGTGTTTTAGCGCCAGATGCGAATCACAGTAAAACCCAATCAAAAAAATGGGTGAATCGGAGGCGGGAAGCAAAAAGGAGGAGAAGCTGAGGAGGAGAAGCTGGGCCCATTTTTGACAAACAAAATGCTAACCCAAAAAAGCTGGACGACGGCACATGACAACATGTATTCACAACCATGCAATGTTTAGATCTCCTTTTCTGGGATATCGGCTAGGGATTGAAGCACAGGCGGGTTGAAGGTTTATATTATTAATATATATAGTATATTATTAATTTAATAAATAGACAGAGAATAGACCGCTGCTCAGTTCTAATTTCCGCTAATAGATCACGTTTGATTAATGACTACAACATGATGAGAGTAAGGCCACCATCACAAATCGACCCGTGTTTGACCAAAGAAGAAATTAAATATAGATGATATACAAAAAGATACTCTAGATGAAGCGTCGTGAAGGGGGGATCAGGGCGCTTCAGTTCCTAAAACACGGACGGTACGGTGGGACGAGAGGTGGGGTTGTTAGTGAGCGGAAATGGTTCAGCACCGGAAAAGCTTGGGGGTAAAATTATTTCAAATCCTACTCTTAGTATATATTGTAACATAGGAGAGCTAAATTTTGTTATTATAAAATCTCATTTTCATGCTCACAACCAAAGCATGCAAGTGCCGTAATTTCTGGTAGTGAAAAATAACTTTTCTACCTGAAAAATCGTATCTAGTTTCAGTCTAGTTTTTCATATAGTTTTAATGTATAATTCTGAAGCCTTACTAAGTCTGCCCCAAAAGCCGCCACGTCACAATCATCACCAAAAGCGTTAGACAAACAGAGACAGATTAACGAGTACAAAGACCACCACAGTACAAGCAAGCAAAGCCACCGCGATTTTAACCCCCGAAAAACCGAATGGGAAGAAAAGTCACAATTTGAAGTCGGAACTGTAGTAGAACTGCTTCCAGAAGCGACTCTTGTTCCGCCGGTATTTGTAGTAGGCCAGGAAGACACAGACGGCTATCAACGACAGCAGCCAGAAGTAGAAATGGCCACGCTCTTGTTGCATCGGGTTCAGGTTTGCTGAAAAATTGGATTATCATTGGCAAAGCGAGCTATAACTTACAATAACTTCCATCAATACTTCTCCATTCGCGTTGAGGATTCATGTCGAGCTTACGCTTCGCCTCATCGGCTTCTAGTCCATCAACCTAAACAGCAAAAATGTAAATTAGTTTTTTCCCCTACCTGATCCGCATTGACGTTGAATTTCGGATTCAAATGCTTATTGGCCACCTTCGACAATTTTCCGTTTTCGAATTCGGACATCTGGTACCCGTCTGATTTCTGGAAAATTATGGCTTGCTGAGTGTTTGTTAAGATTTTGTACCTCGGGTTGATCTGTTCGAATGTCTTGGTAGTAGTGAATGAGGAATTTGAAAGTTTCCTCCTCGTTCAATGCTCCAGCCGCATCCCAGCACGTAGGGCAGAGGACCTTCGGCGGGAACTGGCGTTTCGGGAATTGCGGATCTTCAGCTGGCGCTCCGGACAACCGCTTGTTGACGGCATTGTGGACCTTGTTCAGCCAAAGAACGGTGTCTTCTAGAATCCGAAAGTTAGAGTACATTGGACCTAAAGTGATACCTACCTTTCCGGCTGACATGCGCCAATTTGTGCTGTTCGGCCTCTTTGTTGAAGTTGTCAGCACACTCTTGACAGGACAGGAATCGGAAGATGAACTGGTGCCACGGCTCCAAGAATTCATTTACCGGTGAGAAATCAGCGCCTGGAGAACTCAAGGATTTAAGGAAATCTGAAGGTAAGCTTACGATCTTTCTCCTGGACGTAGGCGTTTACAGAAATAGCGTGTCCGAGTGTCCAGAGTCCACAAGTGTAGCCACGGAGGTTGCTCTTCGATCCCTTACATGCTAACCAGTTTGGTGTGGCTGGTAGAGGATTTCCGAGATCAACCTGATAACGCATGGACGCCATTTTCTATAATTTAAATACCTGAAGCTCAGTTATCTTTTTGGTCCACTGGTCAGCAGTAACTATCGTCATCTGAAGTTGCAGCCACTCGTCCAATCGATGCAAGAGACGGCGAGTCGGGGTGGTGCCTGGTGACCACTAAAAATAAAAATACGTAGTAGCATTTCAAGATTGATGATACCTTCTTCAGCACATGAATCCATTGCTTTAGGGCCTCCAAGTCAGCGCCGGTGATCTTCTCCCTACGGACAACCTCCTTCAACAACATGTACCCGAGCGCGGATTGCAGATCGGTTGCTTGGACCTTGAACTGCTCCAGGTTCAACGCAACGCCGTCCGCACCGTGCTTTTGGCCAGCTGGGCTCTAGAACCGGTTATTTATTGACTCAAACCTTCATTTCTTACCAATACTGGCTCAACAACTTGTCCGGCAGGTTCAGAAGAAATATGGTCATTCACCTTCTCCTGGATTTCTGCCCAAGTTGTAGAATCACTAAACCAGCGAGAGTTATAAGGTTAGAGGCTTTGAACCTACCCTGAGACCCACACGGGACTTGGGTTGCCTCGCTGGAAAAGTGCGGCCTTCCCGGCGTAAAGCGCGATCGAGGAAGCTGCCTTGTGCGAAGGTCTGACCATGGCGACCTTGACGAGACGACTGTCGTGGAAGTTGATGGCTTCCTAAAACTAGCTCTACGAATATTTAGGGATTTTTACCGCAAAGCCCATCTTCGAGGGATCGTTCTCAGACACCATCAACAAAAATTTGGTCTTGGTCGTCTCCCAAACTTGTTCAAGGCTGGTGCTGCTGAAATGGAACAAATTGTAACGGCTTAAAGCAGCATATAATTTTTTTTAATTAATTCAACAAAAGCTTTATTCGTTCATGTTTAAACCGGTTTAACAAAACTAATAGCTGTTAGTTACGACGACAAAGGAGTTGTTTTTGCGTTCAGGTGAAGCTACGAGCGACGGAAGAGCGGGAAGAGACAATGAACTCACTCAGGAACAGGATCGAAGAGCGGCCAACCGGTTGGGTGCTGAACCTCGGCGTCGGCTTTGACCAACGCTGCCAAATCGGTAGGTAACGTCTCCAAATTGTGCTTGTCGCCTTGGAACGGCACCACATCGTCTTTGTTGGCTGGACTGTATTTAAAATACTGAAAATTAAAAATAAAGTGGAATTAGAGAAGAATAGCGATACCTTGATGGTAGGGAACGCATGAATTTCGTGCGCTCGGCAGAGTGGCATATTGATATCCTCAGCACAGTTGACGACAGTCACTTGAACTACTGGCTTCCAGCTTTGTACCAACCTAAAAAAACAGCTTATACGCCAAAGAAGGCAATTTACATACCTCGCGAATTTCTTAAACGTTGGCGCATAAGCGATACACGCACCGCACCATGACGAGTAAAATTCGACAAAGAAGGCCTTTTTCTAGAATTATTTTTTGTATGAATAATGTAAAGGTGAGCAATACCTGTCCATACACCTCCTGATCAAAGTTGTTGACGTTGAGCTCGACGATGGGGTCGCTCGCGTCGTAGAGGGAGTCGGCCAGGCAGAGCTGTGCTATCGAAAACACAACTAATGCCAGCCCCAGGCCCCCTCACCCCGGAGCCCATTTCGGTGAGTGGCCTGAAAAGTGGAAATGAATTAGTAATGCGAAAAAAGAGAAAATATAAGGGAAAGCGAACATCTATAAAAGCTTGAAGAAGTCAAAAGAGCTTTTGAAAAAGAAGTAAAAAAACAACAGCCCGAATATTGGTGCTAAAGCACTTACGGGGGGGGGGGGGGGGGGCATTCCGAAATTGATCGCAAGAGGTTACGAGGCGCTCCGCTTAAGCTACTTGGCTTTAGCATAAGTCTAGGTCACTTTAACTTTAACTATGCTTAGCTTAGACTTCGGCTTAAGCTTGAGCCTAAGCTAAGCTCATCCTAAGCCTTAAATTGCCTTACGAGGCCAAAATGGGGTCATTTAGGTTTAGCTTACAACTAAGGCGGAAGCTAAGCTCAGGCTTGGTTTCTATGAAGCCAAGCCTAGGCTTTGGCTCAGCATGGCTTTTCCAGAGGGTTCGAGTTTAAAAAACGGCATTTGGAGCGTCTCGGAGTCAAAATCCGCACTGCCCTCCTTAAGTGCATTAGCAGCCTAAAATCTATTGCAATATTACTACTTTACAATTAGTTGTGTTTTTTTGTGATTTTAATCAGCTGAAAGGATTCGAAAAAATTTTCCCATGCGTGATGAGCTAAAAAAAATAACGATTTTGAAACAGGAATTCTAAAATTCACTAAATCTTACTAATCTGCAACCACTTACTCAAGCCCCAATAGCCCCTACTGGTGCCAAAATTCAATTTCCGGAACCTCTCCTTCACCGAACAAAGAATCGAGTCTAATGAACCCGGTCTCGCCCCAAAATGACTTTTGCAAAGAAAGCAAGCCCCTGACAGGACAATACCCGTTTTTTGGCAGCCGACAAATAAATAGAATGACTGTGAGTATCGATCGGCCCAAGGCCGGGGGCGAGCTGTCTTGGAGCAGAACCAGATCTACGGCCCGTCAGATCCATCCCTCCCGCCCGCCGTAAGCCGGAAAAGAGGGGGTGAGACGATGGTTGGTAGCTGCTGCTTGGGGGCGAAATGGAAAGGATCGCCGCGCCGATCGGAGGGATATATTCCGCTGACGGCTTTTGATCACGTAAAAGACGTCGAGGCACGCTTCCGCGTGGCGGATAACGCTGGCCGCGCGCGGGGGGTGATGCGCGGCATCGGGAAAGTTTTTAATGGGAAAACGGGTTTGGGTGTTGATTGGGAAGGAAAAGCTGGAGAAAAAGATTGTTTATAAAAGTTAGAAACGCACAAGTCGTTTAGAGAATCTATGGCGAGGCTTATTCTTGTAAATTTGCCAAAATAGTTCGAAAAATGTCCAATTCCTGTAAAATTATGAAAGAAAAGGCTAGTTTTTAGCGGAACTTTTTGTTTTTTTTTAATACGTCACTGACTTGCACGTTTGAAAATTCACTAAATCTACCATTAAAATCCCCCTACAGTTATTCCTGTAAATTGATTAAAAATCTTTACATACATTTTGACATTTTTATAAAATTCACTAAAGAATCTCTTTTTGCGAAAAATTTTGTTCATTAATATCAACTTTTTGTATCTTTTAAAATACTCTAATTTTTAATAAAATCGCGTAAAGTAGCGGAATCTCTAACCCACAGGCCCTCCGGCTGTGCAAATAGCAAGCACTCGACGCAAAACTAGCCAACCAGCCGCTAGGCCACGTCGCCTTACAAGCAAAAATAAAGCAATACGCCTGTCCATCTTTACGCTTTCAAAAGGCGCAATGAGAAATCTGGGGGGCAATATATATGGGAATATGTAAATAGGTGTGAAATACGGCAGGAAAGGGGGCAGGGAAAAGCATTTCATGCCATTTCGCGGTAACACTAAATGGCATGGGGGCCGGGTTTGAAATTGGGGAAAACGGCGGGGGTGGCCCAAAAAATTGATGGATTTTCATTTCGGCGGGGGTTTTAGATTAGGGATAAAATTAGGGAATAAATTAGGAGAAAGGAGGGTATTGTGGAATCAGGCAAATTTGGATCAATAGGAGAGGAGAAAAATGGGAGGCGATGGAAAGAAAATTAATGAATTCTCACATTGATTCGGAGGTTTTGAGAAAGATAGAAGAAATTAGGTTTGGTACAGAATACCGAAAAAGGTAGATTAAAGGCACAGAGAAGCGTCATAAAATCGTGCTTTCGTTTGTATATTTTATAACGCACCATTAAATGGTTGTTTCGCTTGTATGCGTCTATAATTTCTATTTTATAGTGTTTTCACAAATTTTAAAAACAATTTTAAAACGATTTTTAAACAATTTCTAGAAAGTCAGATTGCGCAAATGCCAATTAGAGAGGTTGCACGCTTCTAGTCATGGTTAAATTGGCCTTTTTTACCTATAAGGCATGTTTAGTACCTTAAATTACTAATTACGATGTAGTACTAAGTAGATTAACTTAATCTTCTAGTTATAAAAAATTGCTTGAGTACATACAACCCGTTTAATGTTGGCTAAAGTGCGCCAAAGTGCGCTAGGAAGACGTCTGGTTTCCCTTCATGCGTGAACATCTAGAAATTAGAAATTAACGATAGTTTCGAATCAATAGTGTCCAAAAGTGAAGTGAATGGGGGTGGCGCGGGGTGGGGGAGTGCAAGCGGACGATGGGGTGTTGTGTGTGTTTTTAGCGGAGAGGCGCGGCGTGTGGAAGGGTGTTCGACGGTTCGGTTTCTGTCCACCCGGAGGGGCTATTTCGAGGATAGTCTCGGTCTATAAGGGGGGAGAGGAGTGCTTTCGATAAATATTGACTCGAATTCCCTCCTGGAACAGGCGAGTCGGATTTGGGCGATTGGATTTTTGGGAGGGCTGGGCAGGTTTTAGAATTTCTCGGGGAGAGCTATATATTTCTTATTAACCTTTTATATCTGGTGAAAAACGCTAAATAATCTACACGATTCTATATAGAATTCAAAATAAAGTTGAGGTTTTAACATTAGTTTTTGCGAAACTCCGCTAATTTAAAAGGTTATTCGACTTTTAAGCTAGAATCCAGGTACGAATTTTTGTTTCAAGAACTACCTTAACTGCAGATATCCCTAATCTAAATGATTAGCTACTTATAAAACTTACAATTAACACCCATAGCACCAATCTTCCAAAAAAACTACCGTACCTTACAGTATTAACATCATCCAAACACCCCCGGTGACCAAAAACCAATATTGACCCCGATTACCCTATGTAAAGAGTAGTGCAGCGTAAAAAGTGAAGCGTTCGATCAAAAGTGAAGGCGGGGGCTGAACCCGTCGATGTGGAAGGTGAATCAATGTCGGGAACCTGGGTATAGAAAAACTGCAACCCTGCCCCCACACACGTGTAGTTTGTCTCTGCGGGAGGTCTGCACTAGCGGGGAGTACAAAGTACACTCCAAGAAGGCACAGATATTTATGTTCATTGTTCTGTCTATCGTGCCGTCATTATTTAAAATTGTTTACTAATTACAATAGTAAATATAGAATAACAGGGAGGACATAAAATAAAGTTTATAAAATAATAAGCTATATAAAATGAATTTTTCTCTGATAAAAATAGTTTTAAACACCGTTTTTCAGGCTATAAAAAGCTTTTATAATATTTTTCGGCCCTCTATCAAACGACGATTTAAAAATATCGAAAATATTGAAAATTCCGACTTCCCCTTTATCCTATTTGGTGCCCATAGTTTTTGAAATAGCGTCTTTATGCCATAAAACCTTTATATTACATTTTTTCGGGTTGAGATTAATCTAAATAGTATATTTTTCGATGCTCTATCGAATGGTACTCACAAAATCCCAGAGTACTTTACATATATAAGAGAAATAATGAGTGTAACATTATAGTAGATAATTCTCAGCCTACAAATTTACTCTTTTGCTATAGTTTTCAACCTAAAAAATACATAAATAACTTCAGAAATATGGCAAATGACCCAATCCCATCGACGTCAACGGTGCCGCCGCCAAATGACATGGAAATTTACGTGAGAGAAGCCTCGGAGGGCAGTAAAAGCGGCATCGATGATGATGGGGAAAATGTGCCCGAAGCCCGCGAAGTCATGGAATTCGAGGAGGACGCTATTATGACGATGATTAAGGAGCACAAGCGGCATTTAGAGCTCTTCAAATTTGATACGGTATGATAGCTAAAAAATCGAGCCTAATATGCAAATTTAGGCCCGAGATACTGTCGAAAATTTTCGGGTTCGACTCTCGAAAATGCCGCAATATGGCAAAGATACTTGGGCGGCTGTTTGTAATTGTATAGCGCAGGTTTGATCCACTAATAATCCGTATATATTTTCTGAATTATAATAGCCTATATATTAAATTAATTTAGGTAACAATGGCCGATAAAAATTACTACCATCTGACGTTTCTAACACCAAAACTATTTTTCCGGAAAGAAGATAGCCTACAGAAAAGCTATACGCAAATGACGTGAGTTACAAAAATGTAGAATTACTAATTTTACCCTTTCAGAAATGACTTTAAAAATCTTGCTACTGTCGCTCCAGAGGGCGGGGATTGCCAGCGAATTTTATTCCAGTTACATCAATATGTCAAAGTTCGATCACAAATGATAAAGTTTTATATACATTTGGGTAAGGAAGTAATAAAATTTGTATACCCAAATTTAGCAAATAATGCCGATCGCGATTGGGAGGATATTACGCGAAATAGTGAGGATCTTTTGGAGAAGTCTGACAGGTAATCGAAGCTGAAAAATTGAGTATCTAAAATTTTTGGATTTAACGATCCCGTTCTAAGCGGTTTGCACTCGGTATATTTCTGCGAAGTGGAGCTCCTCGTTATGATGCTGCGTTTTCAATGCTATATTATTGACGGCAACGTAAGGATCCGCAATTACGATATAAAACTCCTAATTTTAGTTAGCCAAATGCATAATGTTGACCAAACAAATCACTGACAAATTTGTGGATTGGATTGGAGGGGGGAAAGATCAGTTATCAGCCTCGTTAGCCGTTTCAAAATCGAAGAAAAAGGTTGAGAAATATATTACAAAGTAAGAAAAATCTATGTGTTGAAAAACATGTAAATAGGTTTCGATTAGTTAATTGGTTGCTATATTTCTTCGACCATTTGCATGCTAAATTCTCTCTCTACTATTTGGACTCAATGGGGCCGTATTTGAATCCGATGGATATGGAAAATATGCTAACCAAACCGCACACGTCTGCTACTCAACCATGGTATTTATGTAAGTATTTATAATATAGCATATTAGTAACCTTTTAAACCTTATTAAACTATTAAAAACCTAATAAAAATATTTTAGCGATGTGTCGCGATTACCTTGCAAAACGAACTGAAGAAGACTTCTTATATATTATAATGGATCGAAGCGATCGTGATGGTCCTTTTTACGGTATAATATATATACGATACTTGGGCATTAAACCCAAATTAAGGATTCAAATTCGTCCAAACTGAAAACCGATTTACGAACTCGATGAATTACATGGAACCTATACGTGGTCACGCCGAACAATACCCAATTCTCCTAAAAATCAGCAAGGTTTTCATGGTCGAATCTAATACACATCCGCAGATCCACAAGGTATTTCTAGAAAACCGGTGTGATTACGATATATTTAGCATGACCCAATTTATGAAGAACTCGACAATTTGCTACCAAGGACAAATAAAAAATTCCATGAAAACCCGAAGCACAATAGGGTGAAGTTTTGAAATATAGAATTCATTTGCATCCTATTTTTAGGCATATTACTGTGAGCGGCTAGAAGAGGATATCTACGGTATTTTTGCGGCTGTCGGCGTGAGGGGAAAAGCGGAAAGCAGCGTCCTTGATTTCTTGAATGAACTTGGACTGTTTGTCAGGGGGCATCGGATTTTCCAGGTATGGTAATTTCACTTACAAAATATACAATAGTATTTAGACTCTAAAAAACTGCCCTCAATAGGACGAACTACATCTAATGACGAATTTTGGCTTTTTTGTTATGCACTTTCCGTTGTAAGAATTTACCCGGGTTTTGCTAGTCACTGCCACCTTATTTTCTGGTTTTACAATGCTGTTGCTCAGTTTCGTTGTGATATATAGTGCCTTATAAATAAACTTAATAAAGTATATATAAAAGCAAAAAATCATTCGAAAACCACAAGCTATAAAACCGCGTGAAGAGGCTGTACGCCTGGTTTGCACGGCAATCTCAGGTTTGCTTTTTTTTGGCTAAGCTTCAGGCCTCGGTTTTGACCGGAAGCTAGGTCATAAGTTTGAGCTGGTGCTCGGGTTAGCCTTCGCTTAAGCTTGGGCTTAGCTTGACTTTAGTTAGGCTTAGGAATTCGCTAAGACTTAGCCCATTGAGTAGGCTTAGGCTTCGGTTTGCTAAGAATAGGCTTAGGCTTAGGCTTCGATTAGGCTTAGTTTGGCTGATTTTTATGATCTGCAGATTCCGGACTTGTCTTATAGTCCCAAAAATCCTCTCCACATCTCATTCATCAAAATATTGTTATTCCACCCGTCCATAGTGATGTCACCCCATATTCCCACCCGGTTCATCGCGCGCACCATCCCCCTCATAGCCAGCTATTGAGGCCAGTAGCAGTAGCTCTCATAGGAGGATGGCCTTGGTATATATGAGGGTTGGTAGAAGGAGTGTATGTGGTGGTGGTAGTAGTGGTGGCCTTGTCCTTCTCCCCCCATCGCTAGACCTATTCTATCCTCCCAGTTCTCCCGCAGTTCACGTATTGGGTTGCTGGTTGTGGGCCATGCCTTCCGCCGAACAACCCCGGCGGGGGAGACCACAATGTGTTTGCCTTCCATAATATTCTCGGGTCCGGGAACGGGGGCTTCATCGCGATCGATCTGTACATGGGGTGGTTGACCTGGTGGGAGTGCTACAACTTGTTAGGGATTGCGATTCTGGATGGTTGGCCTTGTCATACATCTGTTTTTCATAGTAACTAACCAGTAGACCATCCGGATTTGGGCCTCCTTCAAGGTCTAGCTGATTTTTGTATCCCGAAAAATCCACCTATTTTTGCGATTTTCGAAAGGCTACACGATACGACGGGGGAGAGTGCTGATGTTTCGGTCTGTGAGCTACAGTAACTTTCATTTTACACGCGAAATAGCATGGTTTTAGGTGTTTTTCAAAATACAGAAAGTTTAAAGTCAGGTAATCGCGTAACGTTGTTTCTGAATTTTCTACTTTCAATCATGTTTTTAAAATGCAATAAAACTTATAAATCGCTCGAAGATAGGATGCTTTAGTCTTATGGAGCTACAGTAACCCAAGTAATAGCAGGCTTTTCATTTAATATGTTGTTTTCTAGTCTATTCAATTTTATGTTTAATTACCGTTTAAATAAATTTAAAAAAACTCGAGTAATTAATAGCAGCGCTCGCTGGTTTTTAAGTCGGAAACTCTAAGAACTGTAGCAATCATGCTAATCAATGAGTAAAAACTGCAAATTCATCTCATTTTTCATTTTCTGAATAATTTTTGGAGTTTAAAGTTATAGAATTGATTGGAATACCGTAATTTTGAAGCTTAAATCTACTAACTGCAGGACTTTAAAAATTTTACATCAGAAACATCAGTTTTGCTTGAATAAAATACATGACTCACCAAGTAACCCGTATTTTTTGCGCATAATCTTTTTTCCAATCCCGTGCTCCTTTATGATCGCTCCCCTCCGGACCAAAGCCCTTTTCGAAGAAATTGTTTACCGCATTCCCATTATCTCCTCCAAAGCTTTGTCAGCGCCCACTCGCCGACCCTTTATCTCTACCTATTTTCGGGTTTCGAATCTTTGCCCTATTTCCCCTTTTTTAAGCCGACCTATGCAAGCTGGTCGATTCAAAAAGTTTCAAAAATAATAGCGAAATCTATAAAAATCATTCTCCACATTTCCGACATCTTCTAGCGGTTCACCAAAAAGTGAAGTACACGAGGATCTGGGCTAGCTGAAGGATTCGTATGTGAGAAGGAGGGGCCTGAGGCTCCTCGTTTCTGTCGCGAAAAAGTGAGCGGCGTCTCCCATGGGAATGTTCACACATATCATCCATCCGCTCCTCACATCCGCTTCTTCTTTCGCAGCGGCTTCTTCCTTCACCTCGGGCTCAACGATATATGCATTTTTGCATGGGCCAAAATTTTTGGAATTTTTTGCAAAGCTTACCCAAAATTTGGTTTAAAAAATTGAATTTGATAATCATATAATTTAATTTCAAATATTCATTTTTCATGTTAAAATTTCAAATTTTGCACTATTTGCATTATTCTTTCACAATTTATGTATTATTCCATCTTAAGAAAGTATAGAAATTATTTTGCGCGTTTTTGTGGCTTTTAAATGGACGAGCAAGGTCCCGCGCTACGGGCAATTTGACGTCGTAATCAATTACGGAATCAAAGGGTGGACTGGCGCGTTGCGTGTCGCTGTCGCGGCAAAATCCATAGAGAAGTCACGATCCGGTTATTTCGCAAATATAAAATAAATGTAAAACTACTTAGCTGTTTTCTTATTTTTAAAGCGAGCGTGCCAGCAAGGAACGCCTGCAAATTTTTCTTGTCTTTTATTCAATTTTTCCCCGCTAACCGGCTCGCTCCCATTCAAAATTACATCCACTAAAATAGCCTCCTCCCCTCCCCCCAAAAAGGTCGCAATCCGAATCCCTAATTGCACCCTATTTTTCGCCTCAATCCCCTGACACAGCAGCAGCACCCGCAACGTTCAATCGCACGTTTCCTTGGCGATCCCATGCCCTCCACAAAAAACGGCCCCCAGATTTTGTACCCATCTTCTATTACCAAAATAGGGAGGTTGGCTGCTTAGTCATTTTGTAGTTCAAGGCTCCATATTTTCGCATTTCCGCTTGCTAAAATTGCAAAAATAAATTTGGATTTGCACTTTTTACGGTTATTTAACCTTTATGCTTTTGGTAGGGAGTTGTTGACGTGGTTTAGAGGTATTTAAAGCTAGTAAAAATGTGGGTATATTTTTTATTTTGCTTTGGATTTCCTAGGGTTCTATGTTAATCTTCTTTAGAGCTTTCAATTTTCTATTTTTTTTTGTACACTGGCGCTCTCGGGTTTATTTGAATATTTTGATTAGTCAAGCTAAATTTGAATACGCCAATTCTTATAGCTAAATTTTTTTGCTGAGATCCTTTATTTTTCATTGTTAAGATCGCAAAAATAGATTACCTTTGCTCTTTTTACGATATTTGACGTTTATCTTTGGCTTAAAATTTTTATTTTAACGGATTTCAGGACGATTTAAATCTATTAAAATTATACCACAACTTTTCCTACTGCCAAGTGTGAGCAGCCAGCCTTTGAAGTCTGGGGACGCTCGGAGTCCATCGGAATATTTTGACCAGCCGGCGGGAGGCGACGTTATGAATATTCAAAGGGGAAGCGATGCGCCCGGGCACTCCCCCCAATATGCTCGGCCAGAACGTGAAGTTTGACGGCTTTACTCTTTAGTCAAGTAGTGTAGTAGCTTAAAAAAAATTCAAAACTTTATTTTACATTTTTTAATGGATTTTAACACCCGCCTGGCCTAGCTTTTTTTGCGTACATATAGTTTTACACCCGCCAAAACGCACGTATTTGCATAGCCCGCATTTTTTGCAGAAGTCGTGTTGGTCGGGCCGGACGGCGAGAATGCGTTCCGGAAAACCCAATGCGCTATAAACCCATACCCATAACCCGAGAATGGGGCTAATTTGGATCGGCGACCGCGATCCGGGCACGTTTTTCTTGGTCTAGCCATTCCAACAGATTTGGTTGTTGGGTTTTTGTGATTTTCCAATGGTTGGATATGTAAATGTTATTGGAAAATTCATTATATACCTTCGCTAATGCGAAAAAAATGTGAAACTAGGTATCGTAAAACCTTTTTTTGGCGAATTCGGGGCACAGCGGAGTGTAAGCATGTGGTTTTCGTAAATTTGTTGGTGTTATTTGGTTAGGTTTGGCTTAGGCTTGAGTTTAGGTTTATGCTTAGGCTTAGGCTTATGCTTCGACTTAGGCCTAGCTTAAGTTAGGCTTAGGCTTTGCTTCGACTTCGCTGGACTTAAATTTCGACTTCGACTTACACCTATGAAACCAAGCCATCACTTTCCTCCTACTAACTTTATTTGTTCCAATACGTTCCCCTTTCCAACAACGAACATCTCCCTTTCCCATCCCGACGATCAATTCCTGGCAACGATCGTCACCCCGTCTGAATCACCTCCTAACAGCCCCGGCGCCCCGAATATGGGCACGCTATTCCCAATGGCACTGTAGCTGGCAAGTGAGAGCTATTCTCAGTCAGCTCCAGAATACACCTCTGAACCCTCGACCTTCTCCGATTTCTCACTGATCTGATTGTGACCAGAACCCGGTGCAACCTCCGTGCTTTCTCTTTATAGCCCTGAACTGTCAATTTTTGCGATAACGGGTTATGACTACAGTTCGTATTGGGTGGGGCATGAAATGCCGAAAACAAAGGGTAGGGTCGGAGTTTCAGGTTTTTTGTTACTTTATATTCTATTGTATGCCGCAAGGTAGAGGAAATTTAGCGTAGTATAATGCTAATATCGAGCAGGTGTCCTTGCGCCTAGAGCCGCTAAATAGCGGTGACTAATCCGCAGCAATGGTGCGCCGCCCTTATAGCAATTAGGTGTATGGCGGGGGCTGAATCATAGCGGGGTCGCCATATCGGAACCCTTCGTAGTGACGTCAATTTCGCATAGGTTGGCTGGGGGCAATCAGTTAATGGCTAGAATCTTTGCCTGAATTTTTGATTTGCCCTTTGAAGGTAGGAGAAGTTTCACGAAATTTCGAGGGTGGGAGGAAATTCAAAGTAGCTGACTCAGGAGAAGGGAGAGTCAGAAACGGTTCGATTTCCTTTTCAAGTCTTTCAGCTACACGCCGATATACTATTACGATTGCTATTTAGA